GGCCCGAACGTATTGTCGTATAAAACGGTACATGCCACGCCAGTAATATCGGAGACGTATGCGAGAATAAGTCTTCAGGAAACCTGCGTGGCCACATTGGGGGTCGTCATGAAACGTGGAACAAATTTCGGATCGCAGATGACGTGGAATCACGAGTAGCCACTGACGTCCACCGGGTGCGTAGTTGCGTCGGTACAGCACGTCGTCGCGAGTGGCGAAGTGCTCCACTTGCCGACGCAACGTGCGAGAAGGGGGGGAAGCCGTCCGCCCAGCTAGGATGTCTAGAATCGAAGCAACCCACGGGTCCTTGCGTTGCTCTGATGGCATGTCGGCGATGGTGACGGCAGTGGCATCACAGGTTAGACTTTCGCAGCAGTCCGGGTCAGGGGGTAGAGGCGAACGGGATAGGGCGTCTGCGTCCGAATGTTTCCGGCCGGAGCGATAGACCACGCGAATATTATATTCTTGGAGGCGTAATGCCCATCGGGCGAGGCGACCGCTCGGATCCTTCAATGACGACAACTAGCAGAGGGCGTGGTGGTCAGTCACGACGTCAAAAGGGCGCCCGTACACGTAAGGTCGAAATTTTTCTATCGCCCAAATAATGGCAAGGCATTCCTTTTCAGTGACAGAATAGTTGCTTTCGGCTTTGCTAAGAGTTCGGCTTGCGTAGGCAACCACGTACTCTTGGAAGCCGTCTTTCTTTTGTGCAAGAATAGCGCCTAGCCCGACACCACTAGCGTCGGTGTGGATCTCTGTGGGTGCCGATGGGTCGTAGTGTCGCAGAATAGGCGGCGACGTGAGGAGGCGGCGCAGTTCATTGAAAGAGTCGTCACAGGTGGCAGACCAGGCTGAAAGGTCTCTGGAGCCGGCGAGGAGCTTGGTCAAAGGAGCGATGATCGTCGCGAAATTGCGGACGAAGCGCCGGAAGTAAGAGCAAAGGCCTATGAAGCTTCGGAGCTCTTTCATGGTGGTCGGTTTGGGAAACGCTGAAACTGCTGTAAGTTTGGCAGGGTCAGGAAGAATGCCGTCTTTTGAAACCACGTAGCCAAGGATCGTAAGCTTTCGAGCGGCGAAATTGCACTTCTTCAGATTCAGTTGCAGCCCCGCGGCAGAAATACACGCGAGGACTTTCTCAAGGCGGGTTAAATGGGTTGCAAAATCAGCTGAAAAGACGACAATATCATCTAAATAACAAAGGCAAACGTTCCATTTGAGGCCTCGAAGGATAGAGTCCATCATCCGCTCGAAAGTAGCTGGCGCGTTGCAGAGGCCGAAGGGCATGACTGTGAATTCGTAAAGCCCGTCGGGCGTGATGAAAGCAGTTTTTTCGCGATCGGCCTCTGCCATGGGTACCTGCCAGTATCCAGAGCGGAGATCTAAAGAAGAGAAAAATTCGGCTCCCTGTAGGCAGTCCAAGGCATCGTCAATGCGTGGCAGCGGATAAACATCCTTGCGCGTGATTCGGTTGAGACGCCGGTAGTCCACGCAAAACCTGATGGATCCGTCCTTCTTCTTCACCAACACAACTGGAGAGGCCCAGGGACTGCTTGACGGTTCTATTATGCCACGTGTCAGCATGTCGTCAACCTGTTCATTGATGGCACGGCGTTCAGTAGTTGACACACGATATGGACGCTGCCGTAATGGCGTCTCTTGACCGGTATCTATACGGTGAACAACAGATGACGCTCGACCTAAGGAAGGCTGATTGTGGTCAAACGAGGCTCGAAAACGCTGTAGGAGCTTGATCAGCTGTTTCTGCTGCCCAGGCGTGAGGTTACAATCGATGGACTTGCGGAATACATCCATAGGTTCACTAGCGTCAGTTGCGGGTGTAATGGCACAAGTCGGTAGAAATGGCTTGTCTGGATAGGTCGGGTCTTCGAAAATACAATTTAAGGTCTCGAGGCTTCCCAGACACTCACCGCGTAGCAGGATGTACGGGCAAGCAGAAACGTTGCACGCATAAAGTACCGCCGAACCATTGGAAAAGTTGATGACGGCAAACGGGAGGACGATGGTTCGGTGTTGCACCCTAGCTATAGTTGGTTGGAACAGGAGCGTCGAGTTAGTGGCAGCAGGGGAAAACACAGGCACTAGGATGGCGGACAACGGCGCGATGCGGACGTCAGCTGCGGCAAACACTTTCGAGGGACTGTGGTGGTCGATATCAAGGCACGGATTCGTCAACGTGAGTTCAGCACGAGCGCAGTCGACGAGGGCCTGATGGGTAGAAAGGAAATCCCATCCTAGTATGACGTCGTAAGATGAACGTGGGGAGAACAACAAAGTTGACGGCGTACCAAACATCTTGAATAAGAACGCGTGCTGTGCACTGAGCTGTCGGCGCGATGAAATGGGAGGTGGCTGTACGCAGAGCAAGATTCGTAAGCGGCGTTGTAACTTTTCTCAAATCGCGACACAGTTTTTCACTAATTACAGAAACGACGGCGCCTGTGTCGACAAGTGCACGTACAGCAACACCTTCTACTAGCACATCAATTTCGTTGGTCGGACAAAGAGGAGGCCTTAGAAAGTTCGACGACGACGCAGTTCTTGCCTCCGGAACTGCGGCTGTCAGTTTTCCTCTCGAGCGGGGCTCGTGCGCCGAAGCATCGGGGAGACAGATCGGCGACGGGGTGGTAATGACCGGCGAGAATCGACGGGGCGTCGTGGGGACAATGAGTCGGTGATAGAAGAAGATGGTCGCTGGGGATTCTGGGCAGCCTGGTAATTTGCAGAATTCCCATGGTCTGGAGGCTGGAAGTTGCGACGGCGACAGTAGCGTGCTATATGTCCCACGAAACCGCATGCGAAACAGATGGGTCGATTATCCGAGGTGCGCCATGGGTTAACGACAGAAGGTGCAGGGGGCGAAACGGGATGGGGTGCCGTGTATGTAGGCAGCGTCGTAGGGTAGGAGGACCCGGTGCCCCGGTATGCGCCAGAGACAGGTGGGGCTGGGGGTCTAGCAACGACGGCAGCGTAGGTCAGCGGCGTAGGGACAGGTGGCGATGGAGGCAGTGCTTGCGTGACCTGTGTCTCAATGACCTGGCGTAGACGTGGGTCTAACGAGGTCACTGGCGCGGATGCTTCGGCCACAAGAGAAAGCTGACGCGCAACTTCCTCACGAATGAATTGTTTGATTTGGGGCAGTAAGACGGTGTGATCAGCAGCGACGTCGTGTACGAGGGCGGAAACTTCAGCCGTATCTTCTGCGGCCCTGCGCGTCGAGACACGCTGCTTACGCAACTCGTCGTACTCCTGACAGAGCTGGACAACATCGGTGACGGTCTGTGGATTCCTGGCGACGAGCATCTGGAAGGTGTCGTCGTCAACTCCTTTGATGATGTGCTTGATTTTGTCGCGTTCGGTTAGAGATTCATCGACGCGCTTGCAAAGGGACAAGACATCTTCAATGTAACTCGTAAAGGTCTCGTCCCTGCGCTGGACTCGACTACGGAGACGCTGTTCCGCGCGAAGCCGGCACACGGCGGGACGGCCGAAGACCGCGGAGATGGTGGTCTTGAAGGCGGACCAGTTGGTAATTTCGCCTTCGTGGTTCTTGAACCAGAGGCTGGCCACATCATCGAGGTAAAAGCGCACGTTTGTGAGCTGGTCGCAGGCGTTCCACTTGTTGGAAGCGCTTACGATTTCGTACTCGACGAGCCAGTCCTCGACGTCTTGTTCATCGTTGCCGCGAAAAATTGGTGGGTCGCGTTGCCGAGGCGCGCCAGTGCAGTAGACTGTCGTTGGTAAGGCAGCTTGAGAAGGGCCAGGAGCAGTCATGGTGAACGGTGAGGGTAGCGTCCGATTGCGAAGTTCCAGGTTGATGGGAACCCCGGCTCCTCCACCACTTAAAATAGAGGTGTTGTACGTCGAGAAGGGTTCAGACGTAGCTTGGCAAAATGTCCTTTATCAGGCAGGTCTGGCTAATGGCGAGCGGCGTGCGCGAGCTACTACTGCAGCCACCGATCATCATCGTCTTCTTCGTTGCCAGCAGAGCGTCCGTTACTCAGATTCATTAATTCATTACAATATATATATATATAATCGCGGCCGAGGGCATGAGCAGTCGAACCGACTCAGCAGCACTGTGCGACTGTTGGATTATATTTTCTCACATAATAAGGCCCACTGTGTAAGGTTGCAAACCTCTTTGTTTTTTGGATTCTGGGTTGGTGAGAGAACTTTGCTTGCCGTCTACACAAGTCTTAGTGAAATATATACTGCCCTCTTTAAGAAGAATAAAAATAAATGGTGTCCATTGTCTATTTTTTATACATGCGTAAGCCCTCTGCTTAGAGAGTCACATTGACTCTCTTTATGGAAAGTCATTCGTCCCACAACTCTTCTAAAGAAGTCAATATGACTCTTTAAAGAGAGTTTTACTTCCCACGAGTGCTGCACACGGGACTAACATAGAGGAGTCGAAGAACACCTTTTTCTGAGCGTGTATACGCGCTCTCGTTGCAACTCCTATGGCGACGCAAAGTTTGTGAAAAACGTGTGCCGTCGCCGACACGCCCTCGCGGGAAAGCGCATTTGGTGCGGCTGCATCTAATGGCGTTCTCCGCGGGGAAGAGTGCTTCGTGAAGAACTTTTGAGGTGTGGTCTATATTTAGCGGTACTTCGCCGGCTCTCTCTCCCGATAGTGCGGCGCGCCTCGAGAGAACTAGAAAAAGGTGCGCTAACGAACGGCGATTATTTGCGATTCTTTCCTTTTTTTTTCTTGGCGTCTAGAGGTAATGAATGAAACTGTCCGGGTCTTTAGTTGGAGAAAAAAAAAAAGAATGACTGCGTGGCAAAGTGCAACGCCAAGTTGTCGGCGGTCTTCGAAGCACTCTGCGAGCACGTGCGTCAGATCGCACGAGCGCTATGCGTTGCCCAACTATAGTTACTCAAGGATTTACACGCGTCAAATCTGCTACGTATGACGCCATCCAACTCAACTTGAACCATTTCTCAGTTCGTCTTTCTTCGCTTTCTTTTTACAGGTGTGCGTGAAGGAGGGATGCCTACTGAAACAGACCAGTTCATTCCAAGTAAGTTGTCGCGGATTCGTATTGTTCTTTACGATGAACGACGGGTAGAATAGCAGGACGCACTTATCCTGGCAGCACTCGGAAAGTGTACGAAAATACCGATTACTGTGCAATAAAACTGCACGAACTGCACTAGTAACTAAGCAGTCCCAACTACAGCCTGGTACATATAGCCTTATAAGGCTGTATGCACCAGCAGTATACTATAGTATACTGCTGTTGTTTCGCACTAACCTTATTTAGGACAGCTGACAGGGTTCGTTGCCAAAGTCCAGTGAGATGTCGTTCAGCCCACTGAACTCCACTTAATCCATCCACTCTTAACACACATTGCAATATGTGACGCCTCGTTGTTATTTTTCTCGTCTGCCACGCTAAAGTTTGTTTCGCCAAGGTTTGATCGCTCGAGCAGTAGCTGCGAGTTTCTATTCTGAGGGCATGGTCGCAATCACTGGCGCGTGCACTAGCTTGGCAAGCATCAGCGCGAATGAATCCTGGACCATTCCGTGAACTGCGCTATTAGTGCGAAGAGAGCGCCATTGGAGCATCTCCTCCTGCGCGGCGCGGCCGTAATCTTACACCAGCATTTTATAGACTTACGCTAAGCAGATAAAAAAAATTAAGTGAGCTGCCAGCCTTACTTCGTGTAACATTACATTTGTTGCTATCGCATTCATTGCTCGATGGCAGCGTTCAGAGGCGCAGAAGACTGTTTATCGAGCGCGCGCGCCTATTCTCGTTCATTTCGCCGCTGTGCTCCGTTGTGCGGCGCTTATGCGACTCGGCGGTTGACGCTCGCGCGTTCAGGTGTAACAAATGGGTGGCTGTGCATATCTAAAAAAAAAGTCGCGGCTTAATCGCATAAAGTGAAGCAATGAATGCGATAGCAACAAACTCCACATTCGATCTCACCCAAGTCTACAAAACGCTGCTTTAAGAGATCATGGCTGAGCACTCCAGGTTGAGCTGCACTTTTCGCACAGTCTCTTCGCGACGGGAGCGCAGCACGTAGAAGTGTATGCGTGCCGCCCTATCGTGGCTGCCAAGCTAGCGCGCATGAAAGCGACCGCGCCATTAGAAGCAGAGTTCACTGTTGCTGTTCGAACAACACCTCATCCCTCCACGCCACTGTCCACCCCTCCCTCCGCTCGCGTCTTTACATCTCGTTCAAACGGGCGGTGCGTTTCCGCTTTGCTTCGACGGCAGACCTCCCGAGTGGGGTGATGTTATTGCGTGTAGGCTTGTGCGAATATTCAAATGCTTTAAATATTTGAACGAACAGCAGGGTATTCGAATTCGCTTTGATTCGAATTTTAATTATACGTCGTGCTCGTGTGCTGTTACTTGCGCCGTTGTCGCCCTCTCCCGCCATGCCCGGGTATACCTCCCTGCTTACCTACGGCAGTTCGCGTGCTGCAGCGCGGTTGGGGGGGGGGGGGGGGGGGGGGGGGGGGGGCTCGTCATCTGTTGCTGTGTACGATGTTGTAAGGGAAGCATTGTGTTTTTTTTTTGTTGTTGTACTTTAACGAGCTCATCGGATCAGGAAGGTCTCGTTTACGAGGGCCCATTACGAGGGCCCATTATCCTACGAGGGCCCATTATCTCGCTTTCACTACAAACACCACAAGTTGCGTGGCCCAAGAACAAGTGAAAGCCCAAAGTCTCTAGAACCGCAATTTTGAAAGTGGATGAGCGAAGCGCAGCAGCTCTCATCGAAAACGAGTCGTGCAAAGCTAGGCAAGTTTACAAGAGATTTAATATTAATATTTGCTACTTTGGCGGCCCACGCCACCAAAGTAGCAGCGTCCCCCCCCCCCCCTTTCAAGTGTTTTAAACAGTGCTGATGATGAGCCTATTTGATTGAAATTTCTTGAAACAGCCGAGGAAATTATTATGCGAGGCAGATAGAGACTTCGCGTGGTGCGTGCGGCGGTAATGCCGGTAATCACTTTTTTTTTTCGCGTGTGTTTTGACATCTTTTTCGCCTTGTATTTGACTTTTTTTTTTGTACGCTAATGTACAGTAGAGTCCCTGAAAATGATGGAGGCCGTGTTAGGAAATTAATTGACCAATTTTTTTTCAAAATCTTGACCCCCCAACTCAAACCGATCGGCTATACTTCAAAGTGAACTAATATTGTTTCGCAACTATTTTCACAGTTTGTTTCAATGCAATACCCGAATTTCCGCGATCGCCATCATGATTTTAACCGCCTCCCTGACACGCTGATTGTGCACGCAGTGGTCGCGGACAAGTTTGTATGTACAGTATCTTGGTAAGCTATCTCTGTTTGTAAATAAGTGCTTGGCTATAGCACTTACCCGTAATGAAGTTACACCTGAAGACACAAATATCACCGAGTTTCTTCCAGTAATTTTTTTTATTTTTGTTAATGAGCGCCAGCCAAACACGACGGTAGTTTTCGGAAAATCGAAATGTGCGTTCTCAATTTCGGGTAATGACTTTCGGCGAAGAAACACCCCGAAGCTCTGCTCCCTCTTCGGGGACTACTAAATCAACTTGCCTCACTAGCAGCCCTCAAACTTTCATCGTGAGGCAAAACTAAACGGGCGAAAGCACGAGGAGACAACACGGCAGCGGTAGGCGACGGAGTCGGTACCCGGGCATGTCGGTGGCGCATTTCGGAAAGGACGAAGGGGCGCTGCGTGACGCACGTGCACACTATGTATTGAAAATTTGCGAAGTATTCGCAAGGAACGAATAAATGCATACTAGTCCGAATGTACCGCCTGTAAAGGTGGTTTTACTGCAGCGTAGGGATGCTGAACCGTGAAAACATCTGTCCAGAAAAAAACCGCTCTGCCGCGAAGCCCTCCTACAAAATTAAAGGGGCTCTGCAACACTCTTTGAGCATTGTAAGAAAACGCTGCCGATCGGTAGTCGAGGCTACCGAGGAAATATTATAGCGCAGCGTGCGGCGTGCGATTCACAATATATTCTCAAAGTCAGCATAAATGGCTCTCTTCTCTTGGCAAATGACTTCACAAGCTCAGATAGCACGTGTGACGTATTTTCTTTACCCGTGCCATCCTTTCCAGCTTAGATTACAGCGTTTTCGTCGGGACGAGAAGAGAGAATGCACTTGCAGGGTGTGAGAAATCTTTGCAACTCCGCGTGTACTAGGATGGCTTCTAAAATTTTTTTTTTTCAGTGGTGCATTTATGAGGCAATAATAAGCTTCTTTTGGGACTCCATTCCATGGCTACTTGAAAGTCCGACGGCCCCTCTTAATGAAAATATTACCATCAAACCAGTTCATTTTATTGAGCTCAAAGCTTGTTTCGACCTCCTTTGAATGAGAATGAAAAAGGCATTTGCATAGAGGCCCTATTTCAACTTTTTTAAATATATTGTGCAGGTTAGTTAGGTTATGATAAATATGCCAATTTTTCTTTATATATCAGATATACTATTCGAATTCGATTCGAATCATTCGACCAAAATCACTATTTGCTTCGAATTCACTTCTAACCTAAAATTCACTATTCGCACAAGCCTAATCGCTTGCACCCTCCGAGTGACAGAGAACGGTTGGCTCATTTGATCTCCGCTTCAGCCGCGTTCGTTGCCCCCGTTCAGGCGCTTCCACCCGCGGGTAAACATACGATGCGTGGGAGTGTAATATCAATATGGAATTCATACGTGACATGACGGCGACGGCGAAAACCCGTCGAAAATGATTACTGTCATCATAATGTAATAGGCTTATGATTGCTGTAATCATAAGCCTATTGCACAATTGTTTGGAAAATGCAGCATTTGACAAATATTGCTTTACAAGTGCTGTGTAACGTGGCTACATCTGCTCTGAGCGTTCTCTCTAACTGCTCCAAACTTGCTTAAAAAGGTCTTTCTAACTGCTCCATGCCTGCACCAAAACGTCTTTCTGGAGCCTGCTACAAAAGGCGCTTTTCTCTTCTCCCAGGACTGCTCCCAAACCTACGTACCCTGTTTCACCCCACTGGCGCGGCTAGAGCTTGCTATCGCGTCCACAAGTTTTTATATTGTCACGCAGTTTATTTAAGTACAGACCTACTGGAAGGCCGAGGAACGCCAGAAGAGCGAGGAACGCCAACAGGCCGAAAATACAAAACAAACGCAAGCTCGGGTCGCGCGCGTGCACCAACGCTGTGGCTTGCCGTTTTGTGCTGCTTCGTCGTCGTTCGCATAGTTCCCTACAATATTAATGACGTATACTCAAAGAAACTTTACTATTATGTTTAGTACTACAGTACATATATATAGTAATAACATTGCTAATATTATGCATGTAAGGAGGCTTTTGTACAGGGGCGGTAACTCCTCCCACTTGCTATAAGAGCAATGAGTGAAGTGGGGAGTTATTCAGAATTATAGTTCACAACACAAACGACGAGAGACAATATAATTTGAAAGCATCGAGATTCGCTAACAAACATTATCACAATGTTCCATTCACCTTTTAAGAACGTGCCTCTGGGCTCATAGGCACCCTAGCTCTTTGCAGAATCATTGCTCATTTGTTGGCGATTATGAATGAGGGTGAAAGAGGGAAGCGTGAAAATATTCAAAGGGATTTAAAATCTTTCTGCAATTTTTCCTGAAAGTCTAGTAATGAAAGTGTTTGTCTTCAAGGACAGCGATCTTTCAACCGAAGACTCTGATTACAGCTTTCAGGAGCAGTCTGAGTTCTTAGTACTTTAATGTTACGATGTTTCAAATCAGATAATTTACTCACAATGCTGACGCAACTGAACTTTTTCTGCGGTCATACACAAGCTAAAGGGGCGACAGATTTTAACGAGGACTGCTTCACGCTTTCCAGCTGAACGGGATTAAGTACTTCTTTAGTGCAGGGCTGCTGTGTGACCTTTCAGTTGTGTCACGACTGTATAAACGGCTTCGAATCGGTCCTCTTGCAGAGGTGGAAGAAGCGATACTTTCGACTCAAGCCGCGGAAACTCTACTATGCAAAAGACACCAAGGTGAGTCTGGAGCTGTTCCTGCAGTTACTGTATCGAAAGTGGAGATATTCATTAAGTGCATTAGCAGATGTTTACTCATACAAATTACCTTGTATGCTAAAGATTAATTTCTAGGGTTTTATGTGCGAAAAACGGATACGATTATGAATGAGCCACGCCTTAGGGGAGAGCTCTGGAAATTTTGACCATTTTATTCAACGTGCACTGACGTCGCACAATACACGGGCCTCTAGCATTCTGCCTCCATTGAAATGCTACCGCCGCTGCCCTCATCGAAATCCCAACCTCTGGGTCAGCAGCCGAGTACAGTAACCTCTGTACCATGGCGGACTTACGCTAAAACAGTAATGCAGGCATGTGCATGTGTTTGTGTGTGAGAGAGAGAGAATGGTCTTTCCTGAAAGCATCGAGTCCCATTGCCTGCTCGTGCGCTTTCTTGGGAAGGCAGGAGAAGTTTCACACCACGGCAAGTTATACGTTTGAGGAGGTTAATCGATTGCGCATGTGTGAGCGTGTATTGCCTGTTTGGTTGCTGTGTTATACAAGGTGAGTGTAGGAGCGCTGCATGAGGAAGGTTTGCCTTGGATTCCTTAGACTTAGCAAGTTTCCTACGAAGATGTATAGCATCAAGAAAGCAGGGATGCAATGCACTACACAGCCTTTACGGACTCCGGTGGAGACGTTCATGTCAAGGTCCTGGTGCCTTCTGATGAAAATTCGCAACGCTAATGTTTCTGTTTGTGCATCCTTGAGCACTAAGCAGCGTCTATAGGTGTATGCCTATGGATGTGATAATGTTTGTAAAAACTTGTTTATAAATGTTATTGCTAAAGCGTTTGTGCTTATAGCTTTTGGAAAATGCAGTCACGCTTACCGTTGGTAGCTGCTTTGCTACCCCGTCTGGCGACGAAAATTTGTAGACGCGTGTATCGTCTTGTGTCACAGGCTTTATTTGTACGAAGTAAACTTATAAAAGTGAAGAGTACAAAGTATGGAGGACTAATACGGGTTTTTACGGTGAAAAATAGCTGTTCTTTGTGGCTCCTGTGCTATCTTGTGTTGATATGCAATGAAATAAAATTGGACATTGTGTGTTTATACACAATTTAGTAGATATTAAAATAATCAGAAGGTGCATTTCAACTCATTACAGCAGCGCGGCTTATCGTCGTCTCTCTATTTCAAATACCGTGCCCTCCTTTAGTGCTAGTACATTTTTCGCACTTGTTATGGGCTCGCGTTATGCCTCTTGCGTTTCCCGGCTTTATGTAACGAAACTAATCCGGGAAACTCGCTTGCGGTACACGGCCCCACATTCTTTTTTCTTGTGCGCTGCTTTGCGCTATTCAAGGCGTGTCGTGCAAGTTATGCCACCGACGTGGGAGATTGTTTAAATCGAAGAGAAGCAATTTGTCGCGAGCGTTGTGTAAGTCAACAGACGGCGTGTGAAACAGGTGAATTACTGAAGACATTTCGCGCGATGGTATTTCCAAGCGACTTTTTTTCCTTGCAACTTGATCGTGTGAAACTCTCTGTCACGCGTCTTACTATTTTTTATTATTTCAAGGAACGCCGAGCTCGTTAGTGGGGACAATTCTCACCGACAATCTATGCCTGTGTAGGCTTAACACGTGTCCTTGTGCAACGCATAATTCTTCTTAAAATGTATAAAGGTCGTTCTTGATTGTTTGGTTTTGAAGGGTACAGTGACGTTCTTTTAACTACGTCAATGTGTGTGCAGTTTATTGGCGCTCTACAGAGCGCGATCCCATCGAAACCGGATAATTGTAGACGGATTGGCTTGTGTAGCTTGCTGCCAGAAGCAGAGGCACGCACAACACACATGCAATAATTGGCCTGTCACTCTGGCCGAATTGCCATTCCTTGTATTTAAACATGTAATTCGAGCCAGAGTGCGCAGGTGGGCCACTACTGCTTCGGTCATGTTTGCTGTCTCTGTGGTAAGGAATTAAAGCTGCGTTCTTGTGTTAGAACCATAGTAGGACATGCTTGTAATTATTTTGTTGCTTCAATTCGTTCTAGTATTCCACCCACAGACTATTAAATTTGCAATACTGTCAGTATCATTATGGCAGTCATAAAATGTTTCGGAACTCTAATAGACCCATAGTTAAAAAAATGCCATTGTTGTCATTATAATTATTATTATTATTATTTTATTTAATATTGATATTCTTATTACTTGTTATTCATATGCACAGGTAAAATAATACAAAGGAAATAGAGAGGGAGCATGCAGACAAAAGGGCACCACGCCTTCTTTGGAGAGGCAGGAACGAAAAAAAAATAGGGAATTAAACATCAGCTTCACATATTGCGCCTTTGTCAGTGACTGAAACGTGTGTCGCCTCCTCATATATGCATAACGATGCTTTTGGCGCGCTGCTGTCGTCTGAGGCAGAAGTGCGGAGGCATGGTTTGCTATTATACGAGCTCGCAGCATCTCATACACTTGGAGCTTTGAGATTGGGCTTGGGGGTTTGCTTTCTTTGTCCACCACAGGTGACTGCCCACAAAGGGGTGCCACGTCGTTTTCACCGTGCCACTTCATTCCGCATTTCCACTCTCGTTTTCAACTCCATCTCGATCACTGTTGTCAGATGCTATTCAGAGATCTTTCACGTCTTGTCCTTTTATAATTGAATAGCAATGATGCTGGCAGATGTCTCTCTCTCTCTTCTCACCGAGGAGCGTGCACAGAAAAGGCACTGTGTGAAAGCAAGCACGACACAAGCACGCATCGAGATAGAAGCGTCGAAGGGATCGTCAAACGAGGAATACATGGTGCAGGGCAGCAATCGCTTTCCATCAACATCATCAGTTTAATTATGCTCACTGTCTTAAGACTCAGCTGCAGGGCAAATGACTCTCTCATATTTTTTCTGTTAAAAGGTACTGAAGCGAAATCTGAAATTTTCGTGGAAATGATCATCCTCAGTGTGCGACTACATTGAAAACGAGTGGTCATCACTTATCGAACTTTTCATCAGGTTTTATTCTTCATTTTTGTGAGCCTGTGTCGAGCTTCTCGGCCATCGTGAGTTGGAAGCCGTCGACAGCCGGTTGGCCACCGTTGTTTGATGACCCGCGCACGCCGTCACAAAGCTGCACAGTATTCATGTCGTGGTCTCTACCAGCGATGCATTTACCTTTGATGATGCAGGCCATTTCAACTTGCCAAGAAATTACGATTACGAGCTCCTGTGCCAAGCAACGAACCCACGGACGCACCAGTCAGGCAGTCCTGGGTCAGCAACATATGGTACAATGTGTATACCGACAGCAGTAGATGAATTTATTTTATGGGGGATGTAAGATGTGCTGTTTGATAAACTTCGTTGAGGCAGAAAGGCAGTTATTATGCCTGAATTGAGGCTTTGTAGTTTGTCGCTTTAGGTTTGTCCATGTGATCGGCACTTGACTGCTGCACACTTCATTTTCGCGCTGATGAGACCCCGCAAATGTTGAATTTCTCTGCTGTTTTATAGCTCTGTGCATACAGCAGCTACAGTCACATCCAAGCTACCTCAAGCCATTTACAGGTAGAATTATTAATCCAAATTGGTTGGTAGCCTCGTCACAATGCTGGAAAACAAGCCTTAGTTTGTCCGCATTGCAGCTAAATAGCGCCACTGTCCGACGCTCTTGCTGGTGTTATTATTTTTTTTCGGACGCAGCCAAGTGGAACGTTCTAAGCTAGCAAACTGAAGTCTTTTTGAAACAGGGCAAAAGAAGAAAGGCACAGAAGACAACATGAGCACTGTCTTTTGCACTGTTTCAAAATGAATTCCCAAACCAACTAGCCCAACCCTCCCTCTAAGCAGCACGTGTCGTGACCGGACGGTTCAGTGCTGCAGTAGCTACATTTTCCTCCACCACGACGAAACGCTTCAAGACTGAAGACCGACCATGGAAAAGCTGTGATACCAGTAGCCAAGCAATAACTTTTCCCAACGTTTCAGACATACTGCAATTGCAAGTGACCAGCGCCGACAGCAATGAATATAGGCACTGTAGTCTTCGTGATCTGCTTGGGCCGTGCGCGCACGTATAGGCAGGAGAGGGTGTTATCAAGTACGTATTGCAGCTACCAACAGCGGCCGCTAGGGCGTCAGGCACAATTAAAAATAGCTGCAAAAATGTTTCTTGTCCTTTTTTTCCCAAATTACTTGTTGTATTTGTCATTTTTAGTGGTTAAATACTTGTTCTACTACAATTAAAACATTGCCCGCAAAATTATCATTCCCTAATACTAGTGCCCAACCTGTGGGACCATTTATGGGAAAATAGGTTTGCACGTCACTTATTCTACGAGTGCGATTGGGAACAGATGGGATACGTCTCCGCCACTGCAGACAAGCCCACTCAATTGCTCTTGTGGATATTTTACCACATGCGGCCTGCGATCTTGGAACTGTCGCACTATGCTGCATATTAGGTTATTAAACCCACGTTTCTTGACAGCATGCCTCGAATATCGTTTGCGCACTGTGTCAAGTGAAGCTTGCCGTAGTGGCTTCGTGTGCTACGGAGGAACATCGCTTCCCTCCTCGGTCGTGCCCGTATGGTAAGACTCGTGCGAACCTATCTTCCACAAACTTACTTTCAAGATTGGACTCCCTACATATACTCACACATGGGCTGACTTCCAGCAATTGATGCTTTTCTATCGGTAAAAAAGAATTCATGCATGTGTATGAATGTCTTCTTCTATATCCCCACTGAAGCAAGTCTTCTACACATGATTGTTTTACGTCAGAATGGATACGGTTCAATCATTTTTTAACATACCTCGTTCATTTGAATTAGCCCATGTAGATTGCCACTTGGCGCTCGTTATTTTGCAAGGGGGAAATGGCAGCATTGTTTAGTGTCATATTGCTGGCAGTTCAGCTAGCTTCACTTGCAACTCAGAAAGAACGCAACGTCTCTTCTTCATTTACCTTTGATTTTCGATATACACAAAACATTGGCTCGATTCCAATTGGCCTAAGTGCACTTATTTGGGGATTAGGGTTAGCACACTTGTTTTGGTTCCCGTTTTTATTGGGATATGTACTCTGATTGAAGTTCTAAGTAGGCTCTTTGTTGGTGTGTCTATTCTCGCAGTGGGTAGTCCACACAAGTCTACGACTGTCCGACATTCCTTATGCATTCCCATACTCCTGATGCATTTTGTAAAGCAAATATAGTCTGCGTGTTTAACCTTCATAATTAGTCTGCCTTAGTGGATCAGTGGCTAGGTCACTTGGCTGCTTACCCGAAGGTCGCAGGTTATATTCGGGTCGTGGCGGTCGCATTAGATGAAGGTGAAACGGTAGAAGTCCGTGTACTAAGGGATGTCGGTGCATGCGTTAAAAGGACACCATATGGTCAAACTTTTAAAGTCATCCACCCAGCATCCATTTCGGTCGTGTCGCAGTTTTGGGGCATAAAACCCTAGATATTATTAACCCTTATAATTATAAGTCAAGTCCACGGTTCAAACAAGAAATAAAACTTGAAGGCTTTTTTTTAGTTATATCTATAATCTATCTAAAATGCTGAATCATATGGCACTCAGTCATCACATAGAGCAGCGGAATGCAGTCGCTGTGCCGGCGAATGATTCTATGCTGAGAATATTATACACACTGATGACCCTTCTGAATTCATTTCATAAATTGGACATTGAATTGGGAATAACTTCTGTACAAACACTTAGTGAACGTTTTACTGATCCATGCTCACAAAGTAAATAAGAGTGATATCTTGGTTAGTTTATTTTTAGTATTGGTATGATTGTATTTTTTTAATAAAATTGTATGAATTTATTGAATATTTTGTACTCTGATTATGTGTTCTGTATGTGATGTCCTTTTATTTTTCCGAACATATGTGCTATAGCTGCCTGCGATTGCATCACGAATGAAATTATTATTATTATTATTATTATTATATATTATTATTATATTATTATTATTATTATTATTATTATTATTTTTATTATGCTAATTTTGGTTGGGCTAGAGCGCATGACAGCTGTTTTCGACTGGGTGTTTGAAGGTTAGCTTCACGCAACCAGCCCGCTCTCTAGAGTAGCAGTAGGAGGCCGCCTTGCGCAGATCGTGGTCCAACATCCAGGAGGTTTACATCAAGTAGATCCTCTGTCCCATTTCTTCCTTCATTCTAAACAGGACCAAGCAAAGTCTTTAATTCATAGTTTCATTGCACGGAACTGCCCCACATTTGTAGACACTGCTCTTTCTTGTGTGCTTCCTTTATTCCCTCCTCCTGAAGCAGGGTCAGCCTGCTCTGTCCCAATTCTTTTGTGTAGGTTTACATATCAAATAGGTGGATAATAACTCAATAGTAGCTGCTCGTGTTGTTTAAACTAACGTGAGCCCATGATGCACCACTTATTTGCAGCCACTGTGACAGCCTCTACAGTGTTGCACTGCTAAGCATGAAGAACGCGGCTTCTATCGGCGACCCCCCCTCTTCAGAGGAGGCTAAATTTAAGAATACTTTTGTGCTTGCATTTAGGCGAACCTCGGATGGTCATAGTTAATCCGGAGTCGCTCGCACATGCCTCATATTCTCTAGGACACGTCTGGTAGTCTTTAGGACATGCCTCATAATAATTTGCTTGGAGAAAATCACAGTGGCAGGTCATTTGATTCTGGCCTTGCTTAGGCTGAAATGTCAGTCGCGTACAACTCGTAAGGCAGATTTATATCTACAGGTCATGTAGTTGCCTTGCAGTGGCAAACTGGACTTCTCGATCGCAGCTTGATATCAAAGCGCATACCAGCTCGCTGTTATTCGCTCACAGTGTTCTTGGCTGCCCATTCTGTTGTCATGCAGTTCTCTGATGATGCTTCCCAACATCCCCACCCTCCTTCGTCCACAGTCTGTGATTTTTGAGGAGATTGATCTCACCGAGCTCAGCGTGGCCGAATGCAGTACAAAGAATGCAAACCATAGTTTTCAGGTGGGTAATCACATTCGACACCTCTTTTTAGTTGTGTGTAAATCCTTTATGTGTAATCTTTGACTCAGTTAGTGCACAAAGACAGTAAAACCACTTCTGCCTGGTGGCGTGCTCCCGACACGGAACAATGTCGAGTTGATGCTAGAGAGAAAAAGCACGCTTCTAGAATCAGCAAAAAGGGTAAATCATGGTGAATAAGTTCTCGTCTTAAAGAAGGCACAGAATGAATGAGACGCACGCAGCAGCTGGACTTCCAATGCACATATGGTACAGGTTCACTTTCAACTAAATCCTTATTCTCACTACCATAAAAATGTGTCTATTTGAATAATAGAGATTTTGTTTAAAGTATGGCACTTTTGTTTGTTTCATTAATTTTGTTTCCTATTGAAAAATCTTGCACTGAGGCAGCATCAAGGTGGTGCTTTTATATGTTCACCAGCCACTTGGGTTCCTGGCACTCTAGTATTGTTTGCATACTTTTGGTCTGAAAATACATTTGAGACAACAAGTTGTTCCAAATGTTGGAAAACCAATGTGTTGTACCAATTGCATTTGGAACAACATGATGTTACAATTGTAATTTCAAAACAAAATCAAACAAAAAATACTTTAGTGCCAGACAGGCGGCTAGGGAACATAAGAAAGTGGATGACAGTTTGAAAGAACGAACGAAAGCGGGGACCTAATGGCTGTAGTGGTTCCCATCACCACAACTTTCTAGTTAGTGCACGTATGAGTTACAGCTACATTTATGTTGTGTGCTTGCACAGTATGTAGAAAGCTTTAGTGCAGGGTAAAACACTTACATTCAGCATTAGCATGCATCTCCACACTAAAGGGGCTTTGTAACACTTTTGCAGCGTGGTCAGAAAATGATGCCGATCGGTAGACGCGACTCCTGAGAACACACGTGCCAAACATTATAGCACAGCGGTCAGCTTAGAATTTACAATAAATTCTCCAAGGCTACTAGAAATCATTCCCTCTTCATTCTACATATGATGCCATACACCCAAGTGACTGAGCTGTATGCCCAAGTTTCTCTGTTTTTAGCTTATCTGAAAATTACCTATTTGCTGAATAGTTACGGCGGCCACCTCGGGAGACCGCCACATGATTACTTGTGTGTTTGCAATCGCATTAAAAGTAAGCCATGCATTCGCTGAAAAAAAAAAGTGCTCAAGGGGATGACGCGTATGTGAAGTGACTTCTTCCGTGCATGCAATCCCTACCCACTTTGGTTCGAGCGTGCTCATCGGGACCAGGCAAGAGAGGAAGCAGTTAGAAAGTGCAACAAATCTCTGTAACTTTTCTCGTACTTGACGAGTCCTAAACATTTGTTTTGTACTTGATTTGTGAGACAATGAAGCCATTCAATGGTTACTCAAAAAAGTGTTGCAGGAACTCTTTGGGACAGGGTGCATTGTGAGGCACAACCTAGGCAGTGAAACACATTCACCGCCTATATCTACGTATATATGCAAGAACACCCACAAGTAAAATTCATGTGATCGCATATGACTTGCTTTTGTCATGAATAATATCGCACATCTCGTTTAACTTGTGTACATGCTTTTTCAAACGGCCACATCAACCAAAAGCTAGACATGAAAGGTAGCGCTATCCAAACACATGGTGGCCCAGTTGCAGAAAACAACAGACTATTCTACGCTGCTAATCAAGATCGTATCTCAAAACAGAGGTACTATATTGTCACCAAAACACCCCTGCCGAAGCATCATTACACAAATTTAAAGTTAATACTAGAATGTAGTGGAAAAATAATCAGTTCAACAGGGGAGACTGACTGCTCGATACATCTGGTGGCACTCTCATCAACAAGCACCACTTTCGTGCCCTGCTTATATGGATCTCATTGCATCCTTTTGTGTAGAAAACTATACGTAACATACACACACCAGAGATCCAGCTAAGTTTGCGTTGTGCTCACACACATGTAGCACGAAACACTATCGCTAAATTAAATCTTTGCATTTGCTGTTTTCCACTACACTAAGTGTCTTCGCAACTTTGTAGGTTTGCGCCTGTAGGGTTTCCGTGTGCTGACGGCAGTGCTTACATGATTAGCTGTAGTATAGCTATGTGGTAGTATATATTCACAGCATCTACAAAAATGACGCTTAACTTCATTTTGTGCTGACAGATTATCACGCCGTTCCGGAGGCTCGTTTTATGCGCGGAGACGAGGAAAGAAATGGAAGATTGGATCTCAGCCCTGAAGAGTGTATGCAACAAGGATTTTTATGAGGTGAGATATTTTGCGCCATCCTTTTCAGCTGCCGATGAGCCTTCTGTTCAGTGGGCGAATTGCCCGTTAAAATGCTAAAAGTTAACAACACTACTAAAAATGCTTGGAGAAAGTGGAAAAAAATAAAATTGGCATTTGAGCGAAGACTACGCAGGCAGGGCTTTCATGCATTCATGTTGCTTCACAAATAGTATACGCAGCTTGTGGCTGATTTTGGTTTTGCTCGCTCACATACTTGATGCATTTAAAAACATATACATGAAAAATGTGAATGGAAGAAACGTTTCAATTGTTCAGTGTACATTTCGGGGTTTTCTTATGAGTATATTTATTCTTGAAGAACTAAACAGCACATTTGCAGCTTGCGGCCATTCATTGACCTACTACGTTTACACTACGTCATGGACGCCATGTTATCTTTAGAGAACGGGCGTGCTAAAAACATAATGCTGAAAATAAATGGAAAGAAAAGGAGGGCACGCTTGCAAAGTGAACAAATGCCGTATTTTATCCTTGACTTAACGTACTGTTTGAATCTCATAAAAATGAAGCAGCATTTCATCGTGGCAAGTCAGAAAATTATCAGTAAACATATGTACCATTTTTTGCATGGTCACAGGCATGCACTTAAATTTAGTTCTTTAGCTTTCACAGTGCTGTCAACAAATGTCGCCTTTTCTCAAGCAGGCGCCACCGTAATCTACTCTGGGCTGTGCTATATAGGCATGATTCCCAAAACACGCACTGTTGATGCTGTGACATCAGCCAATTGTGCTCCCACATGCAACCCAGCATGGTCAGGTAGCAGTCACCCTAGCAAAAAAGTTTTGCTAGAGATTCTATAGTTTTGGCTGGTTCTCGAATCAACATTTATAGATTACTTGTTTAGTTCCATACCCCTTGCGACACACCTAGGGAGGAGGCAGCCTGTTGCCCCATCCGCCACCACAGTGCTCCTCTGTCCTTGGTCAGCAAGAGTCGTCTGCGAACGCGAATGGTTTGCACAAGCCTTTTGCATGCACTTGAATGTGAATTGCCTGAATACTGTTCTCAGTCTTTACTTCGGTTACTGAGCATAGGACATGTATCTAGTTGAATTTGTGTGCATTACATCGTCCAAGAATTTGAATAGATCTGTGCACGCTTCACAGGCATCTGTCTTGTGTAATCACAAAGTATAAGGTTAACCCTGCATCTTTTTGTGTCTGTTTCACTAGCAATTGAGCATGCTAAAAAGTACAAATTTGAAACATAGAAAATGCAAGGTTAATTAACATCTCTAAAACACAAAGAAATTTACAGGTACCAAATTTTGTAGGATTAATTGCACATTGCTGTATCAACATACTGAAAATATTCACCGAGAATTTCCTGCGGTTAGCAAGCTTGTTAATAATTTCATGAAAACTGACATAAAGGCAGGTTAACTGCAACTTGTTTGTCAATTGAGCTGTCGTCATGGAGTACTGGTACGTTTGGAAGCTGTGTCCAAGATGTCAAGAGCAAGATATTTTATAATAATAATAATAATAATAATAATAATAATAATAATAATAATAATAATAATAATAATAATAATAATGTTTATTTTCAATATCTTACATCTCAAAATGTTACATGTCTAGGGATGATATGACTAAAGGCATATTCACTGTCTGACAATGGCCCTACCGCTAAGGCTGTATCACAATAATGGCTTGAGTGTATCAAAGCAATGGCTCAATTTTGACTGTAGTGACCCTATTCTATTTTCTGTTCCAATAACATGAGTGATAGAATGAAAAGTTTAGTATACAACCTGTCTATATGTGCGTCCGCCTCGGTAGCACAGTAGGCAGCGTGTCAGTCTTATAATCTTCATATGAGGCACACTTATGATGTGATTTCAACGGTGAAAATACCAGATGTAGTGTAGGAAACAGAAATTTTGAGTCACTGATAATAGAACTGTATCGCCAGCTTTTATTTGGTTTACATTTGCTGCGCAGGGCACCGAACACCAGCAGGATTTTCTGTCTGGGCAGCACAACTGGTACGTTACATCTCACGCACGTCCCACCTATTGCAATGTTTGTAAGGAAGCACTCTCGGGCGTTACCTCCCATGGCCTCTCTTGTGAAGGTGAGCTGCTGCATTAGCTCATGTTAACTTTATTATACACGGTGTTCTGCTTTTGGGCTCTTCACATGTGTAGAGTGATAATAATTTGAAGGCACGAAGGAATGAGGACAAGAAAAGACAGGACTGGTGCAAAACACCAACTGGTTTGTCGGAAAGAACATTGCACCCCACGTAACTCAAATGTGTGCGTGAGTCACAAAATCACAGTAAAAGAATGACAAACGAGCTTCAGTTATTATGACTTCTCTAAAAGTTGCAATTCATTGCAGTGTGAAATGGCACACTAACACACTGGGGACCCTTCTTATTTATGCAAAAAACCTTAAGTTATTAAGCGGGTGCTCACACAAAATTTTGGTGGTGAGATAGCTTGTGACATTAATTTTTGTAAACATACATATATCATCTGCAAAATATTATTGTGCTCCCGTCTGAACTGACAAGACACTATCTTGCTATACCTCTCACTTGTTTTCATTTTCTCTTCTTTCTATCATCCTTACTTTCTTATCCCCAAAAACGCTGAGCTGTGCCCCACTACGGGAGGCAGAAAATGGCATCCTTTTCGTCTTCCTCTTTTCCCATCCTTTTTGACTTCCTCTTTTCTTAACAGTAAATACGGTTTGGAAGGTACTTTATGTAAATTTTGAAGTATGCGTGCATGATCGAGTGCTATGCACCACATTTCGTGGTGTAGACATTCTCGACATTGACCCGACGTTGACTCCCCCTTCCCCACAACATTTGCCTCATATCACCATGTGGCAGCTGATACAAGTTATGATGATGTCATAGCCATGATTACTCTCTTGCCGCATTGGCACCAGCAGACTACTTTTGGCAGCCGCTCGCGAGTCCGTGGCCGTCATGCATGCGTTGAATGTTTTGTGTTTGAGGACACTGCTTTCTCGTTTCCAGTTCTAAAAGACTTCTTGATGCGGACTGCGGGGAGGTGCGTCACAGTTTTGTGTGCTGATGTGGTTGAGCGTCGCAACCGCTGGATGGTCATAGTTGCACCCAGCGGCTTGTCGTTTTTGGAGCTCTCTCAAACCGAAACTGAGGCTGGTTGGTAATGAATAGCCTATAATTAATTATCTGTCATGAGCTGCAGTGAACGATGTGACGTGTTATGTCTAGCAAGCATCCAGCAACACATTGTAGCAAAAAAATGGGAGGCCGGAATTTTTGTGTTGGTACCACTTTAAAGGTTATTCTGATATTTATTGATTGCTGTTCTTTATTACCCGATTCCTCGTAGGTCAAAGTCAAGTTCCTTGCATAATATCTCAAATGGTTAACCTTTTACCAAGGCAGTACTGTAACTCGACTTCATAGTCAAGTTCAAAATCACCAGGAAGTCGTCAGCTTATCGAAATATGTTAATATCTTTGGGATGAATACCTTCACTCAAATATGAGTTGACGGATGACAAGAAAATGTTACACAACACCGGTGCCACACATGAACCAATGAATATGCCTTTCCTCTGTACAGAAGCTTGTCATTGTAAGATGCCAAGGTACTATCAAGATAAAATTTTTAAAGTAACATGAAATCTACAGAAATTCTGCAATTGTTTTGAAATGACACCACTCCATTCTTCTTAGTACAAAACCCCCCTGTCTCTTCCTTTTATTTTTTTCTCTCTCTCCTCTCTGGTGCAAAAAACCAGTTAAGAATGTGGTACCAAATAAAACAGGTAGACTACATCAATGGAAAAACTGTCATATGGGGGGAAATTTTCTCTTTACAAGGCAATCACATTTAGTGAGTTTTTAACAGAATACTGGTTATGAATATGCAGTCTATTGAGGTATAAAAGGAGGAACACATTGCATTTGCTCCCAATGGAGCGAAAGGGAATTTTCAATTTACGTAACTTGACGGTGAAAAACATGGCTAGACTACTACTTTTACACTTTTTCACTGCCTTGGCCATTTTGGGCAAGTTCAAGTCACTACAAATCCACAACGGTTCACAACGAAATCCACAACAGTCCTACTGCTGGTCTTCTGATGAACAGAAGCTTTTGCTTTTATAACGCTAGCTACTTCTTCCTGAAGACGGCGTTCGTGGTCCTCTTCTCCCGTCCTTCCAGCAAGTCATCTGTTAAGGACCAAAAGATCATGGGCCAAAATCATCGTCTTAAAACTGAATCTCGTTCTTTGTGCCTCCAAGTTATTATTATGCCATGCACCAACCAAAGTTACAGTATGCACTTACTCTGATTCATGTCATAACTGAATGCTTCTTTCTGTGTACAGTTTGCAAATTCAAGGCACACAAAAAGTGTGCACTCAAGTCTCCAAACAACTGCAAATGGACAACATTGTCATCTGTAGGAAAAGACATTATTGAAGATGAGGATGGGGTAAGTGCTTGGTCTCGTTTGGAGTCTTAAAGACCCACTGCAACGAAACTTGGCACTCTGCAAAAGGTCAATATATTGGTAGTCTAGCTAAAGGTAGTGCTGCCTGTTGAATGTCGCCCTCGAAATACAAGCGCTTACCCTCGAAAAAAGCTTGCAAACAACGGTGTTTTTGAGACCGAAACTAGAAAAAACGACGCCATTACGGCTTACTAGAAGTGATGTGAATGACAAAAAAATCGTCTGCACCGCGCTCCTCGAGCACCCACATCGCTGATGCACCCCTTAGTGTGTGTGTTTTTTGTATGTTAACTTAAGAAAGCTGCTTGAACATGCTTCTTATCGAACGCTGGTCTGGGCTTCCCACTGGTGGGTTTGCAGTGTCTGACTCACGCGTATTCAGAAACGCTGCTTGACTTAAACTTGACTCGCCATCAACTTCAATTCAGCACAAACGCGTTTCAAACGCACTGCCTTTAGGTAGTGCCAAGGCAGCACAAACGCGCTGCATTGAAAGTGGTTTCAACGCAGGAAATAGCGATTCAGCGGCAGAGAGAATTACTGACAAGGAGCAACATGGTGACATTCTGTAGTAATCGTAATATCCGGTTATGTCCGATTTTCCTGGTCACACCGCTAGAGCTCTGCATCGTCTGTTTGCTGGCAATTAGAGCACCAATCATAAATTAAATACGCGACTGCACGATTTTTCACTGTCGTTATCGTAACTTACCATATATTTACTACGTATCTATGGCCGTTTCCGCCCAAGTAAAATTTCGTTGCAGTTGACCTTTAGAGATGAGCTACAATGGCATTTCAGCTTGGCTGAGTTTGTTTTAAGTGGATATACACTGGATATAATCTAGGGAAAACTGAAGAACTGGTCCTTGCATTGTATTTTTGTCACCAGCCTTTAAACTGCATCTATGCAGAAGATACACGAACCCAATAATTTTTGTTAGGACATATATTCCACCGCACCACCTCAGAGAAGGCTTAGTGCCTCCTCATTTTCAAGATAATGCCAAAGTACCATGCATTGAAGGCCACGACAAAGTGGTGTTATTTCCGATGAGTGGTAATAATAGCATCTTTTATAGTTTCAGTGTCAAAAACTTAATTTTTTCAAGATATTCATGACGCTTCTGCTCATATTCCAAATATCAGGTATTGTGAAGAAGCTCTCTCGTAGTTACACTGTCTGCAGCTAGGTTACACAGCTATTTCATTGTGGCGCACTTCTTTACACATGTAAACATTTTCAAGCTAAATGCATACATCATTAAAATGATTATACACTCATCAATGCTTTTTATCACGTATAATGATAAATCATTGTGCAATCTACCATGTGCCTGGTCATGTCTCAAAAGAATGCAAAGAAATAGTGATAGAAGTGAAGACAAAATGAATTCAACTTTTCTCACTGTGATCTTTGGCCTTGGGTTCCAGATTTTAAGCTCATGAAACCGTTATTGCACATGCGACAAGAACTGTGCAATTATTATGAATCTTGTGTGAGGTTGCAAAAGTTTAACTGTGCCGTGCATCTGGATAACTCATTACATCATGCTGCAACACCCAGAACCTGACCATGCCTCATCAGTGGATGGAGGGCAATCTGCCTGTCAGTGCAAAATGCTGTGTCTGTGACAAGACCTGCGGCAGTGTTCTCCGGCTCCAGGATTGGCGATGCCTTTGGTGTAGAGCCACGGTATGCAGGCTTTCCTCAGAGTACTGTTTTGTGCTTATTTACTTTCAGTCGTTCTTTTCCATGTTCGTTACAGGCACATGGAAGGAAAGCTGACCATACGTGTCGCCCATCCTAGTGCACGAACACGCATGGTAGTCAAAATTTGTAACTCATGCAGGTACATTCGGCCTGCAAGTGCCAGTGCCCCATGCAGTGTCCACTGGGTGTCTGTAGAGCTTCGGTGATTCCCCCAACTGCACTACACAGTACCGGGGGTGGGTCTGATGAGCCATGGGAAGCAGTGGTGCCCACTCGTCGGGGCAGCATAGGAGCAGCCACAGTAAGTGCAAATTTTTGGGATTGCACATTCTCATAAATATTGAAGAGGAGCGAGAATTCAATTCTAGACTACAGCAGATATTCTGCAGGCAAGTTGGAAAGCAGATTGGCTGGCTGCATAATACTTATTAGCTGCTAAACTACCCAACTGTTCAATCGTACCAGTCACGAAACTTCTTATTTTTTGTATTCTTGCTTTTTGGGCCCTCAAAAACCTTGCCGCTTGGCATAACATGTAAAAATTTGGTCTCTATAAAGCCGCCATTGCAAAATAGCTCGTTCAGAAATTCTAAATAACTTGTGTCCTGCCATGCAGTTGTAGGTTTTTCGGCATGATTGACAATCTTCTTACATGGTGCTAGTGATAGAAGCATAGTGACAGGGACTAAGGAGAGAGACGTAGTACCATTTCTTTCCAAATAAGAAAAGCCAAGTGCATATTCTGATGTTATTAACGCAGTAGCGTTAAATAGCTTGTTTCACAGAAATGCCATTGTCGGTGTTGGCACCAGGATCGTTGGTTGTGAATGAAAAATTATAGTCTTCTCAGTTACTGAAAAATCAAGAAAGAAGGAAAAAATTGGTCCCGTATTTGCATCTTATACTGCAAACGTCGATGAAAGACGATAGTCTTGTATCTGGAGAGAGCGAACAAAACGTTTATTTGATGTTCTGTGCAAGAAAATTGGTGAATGGTATTCTGGAAGCGCTGCGTCAGAGTGCCTCGAGCGGGCCGCGGAGGCGAACGAGTGCATCAAGTCACGTCACACGTGAGGCATGAGCGCTATCTGGCAGTCATCTTGGAAAACGAAGCGCCCTTGGCGTGCGCGCCCATCTTGGGGGTGTAAGGTGTAGAACGCAAGGCGACAAGTAGGTGCCACCACCATGCTGTCTTAGCAAAGCGTTGAAAACACTCGCCTTTTCGTGCAAGCGTTGCATCGTCAGCGCAGCGTGATAAGTGCTACAGTCTTTAGAATTACTTGTGTATGCCTTTTCTAGTAAAAAGACACACATACAGACTATCGACATGTTGTTATAGTGCCTCAGATATGCGCAGTAATTGCTTTTTAATTGACAATTTCACAAGTTCGAACGCTGAATCTTGAGCAATATTAGCGGGTGCTGCGGATGGGGTCGGCGATTTGGGTTATCGTTAGGTGCCATTTAGACTTAAGGGTATCGTTAAGGGTAGACAAACAGACCAAAATGTTTTTGTCGAAGGTATCCAAGAAAGACTATCGTCTTTAATAAAAGAAGTAATAAAAATGAGCTGTTCAAGTGACAATCTGACGCAGGCTATCTGCAGGACAAACAGGTGTTTTACCACAGAGCCACACTGTTTCTTCAAACTGCTTCAGAAAAAAAAAAAACACTTTGTGTATGTCATGTAGTGGAAGGAATTTCCGCTACATCACATACATGACGTGGCATGTAATATTGTGTGGCAGAAGTGTAGAATGTGAATTGCACAATGAGGAAGTTTTTCAAAGGCCCACCAATGAGTTTTTAAAGCACCCTGGCTTATTGATTTATGTCATCATTACCTGTAAAAGTATCAACCAAGTGAGCAGCTGCATAGGTTCAGGTGTTGCCTTATGTAATGGGCTTTTCGCTGATTCACAAAAATTATGCTGTAGTGGGCACTTAACAATTGTATTTGCAGTATGCATTCTGGGATAGATTTAAATAGCCGATGTTACACACTCAGTTGCCATTTCCTTACGGGCACAGCTGAGGTATGCACCGAGAATCCAAGCCAGACAAGCCAAGAAAATGATGTGCACAAGTCCTGATTATGCTATCTTTTTGTACTCTTGAAGGCAAAGCTCGAATGTTCTTTCAGTGTTTGCTTTCTAGGCACGCATAGAAAACCTGACCATAACACTTTACTCCATTGCCCTTAATACCTGTCAGTGCCAGGTAACTGTGTTGCCTTAAAAAAGTTATTTGGGCAGTGACATTGTGTCCCATAAGCATCATTCTCCTAGCAAAAAAAAGTATTAAGCATCACACCAAGTTCCCTCAGTTTTAAAATAATGCAGATACGTTTGATGGCAGAAAGTGTTTAATGAATAAAATATTATGTGTACCTGATGCCTACTCGAAGTTGCCACAGAATTTTGCACAGAGTTTGTAGAACTTGAAATTTTCCAACACATGTGTATATTGTCTGGGTCTCTCGCCGTGATTAACAGCTGCTCCGAAGCACTGTCACAGTGAAGAGCCATATATATAAGCTGGGTTATGTCTTGCTTTGCAGGTCTGTGTTAAGCTGCAGACCACAACTTTTAGGCCTGACAATCACTACAAATGTTTTGGAAAAAATTAAGAAATTTGGATGTGAATTTAGATATGTAAAAAAAATGTAGGCTTGTCATGCTTTCCTGCAGTAGTAGTAGTAGTAGTAGTAGTAGTAGTAGTAGTACTTTATTTACAGTAAGCCGGATACAGAGCTCACTGCAGGTGCAAAGGGCTAAAGGCGAACAGCCTGACAAAGGCCCTTGTCCCTCCGCAGTCCGTGACAGTGCAAAGCTTAAACATCAGCACTGGCAAACAATATATATATTCAATACATTGATTTCAAGCAACCTGCAATTTTACACACAAAATTCAAACATAAATAGCATAAGAAGTTTACATAACACATTTCAAGAATTAGAGGTCACTCTCGTAAAAATTCACAACTAAACGATATCAATAAAACAACTCAAAAACAGACACAAAATGCATGCGAATACAGTGAATTGCGCTGTATACACTCGTATAATGACATAGAAATTTATGAACAATTTAAGCATTTGCAGAGGCATGAGACTCCATTACGTAATTTCGATAGTGTAGACCGGTGGTTATGAATAAGTTCTTTATTTGTTTCTTGAAAGTCGCACTACTAGCCCTAAAGTTCAATTGATCTGCAAGGGTATTTAAAACCTGAGGTACCTGGTAAGCAACACTTTGTTTTCCATACTTGGTTCTTGTTCTAGGAGCTCGTTTCTTTTGTTCTCGCAGACTGTAGTATGGTCTTTCGGTGCAACTTTCTTCATATAGCTTAGTCTTTTGTATTAACTGAAGCAATTTAAAATGATATAATTGATCAATTCTGAGTATGGAATGTTTAATGAATAGTGGACCAGTGTGCAAGTCTTGTAGGTTCCCCCTGTATTTTTCAAAGCAGCGCAATATTTTCTTTTGTATAGTTATTAACTTATGGTAATTCCCTTGTGATGTCGTTCCCCAGACTAACATCCCATAAGTTACTTTAGAATGGAAGAGTGCATAGTACATACTTATTTTTAACCTCAATGGGATTAAGTGCATTGTTCTAAAAAAACAACCAACTATTCGCGCTAATGCGGTGATCAGATGATTTACATGTGTGTTCCAGTTTAATTCCTCCTGAAACCATACACCAAGAAACTTTTGTTCCCTAACATGTGCGATGCAATTTCCTTCGAATTTTACAGCTATGTTACTAATAGGTTTGTTTATAGGTCGGAATATCATATAGGTTGTTTTTTTTGCATTCAAGCGCAGTCCATTTTGCCTTAACCAATTTGAAAGATTGCTTAGATAATTATTTACACTGACCTCAAGTGATATTAGATTGTCTGATGAAAAGAAAACATTCGTATCGTCAGCGTACATTATAAGTTCAGGAGAATGAGGTATATCGACAATATCATTTATATAGGCAAGGAACAATAATGGCCCCAGTATAGACCCTTGGGGGACTCCTTGGTTTAATTTCATCTTTGCAGAAATAGTGTTATTCAGTTGTACATATTGATAACGATCTTCAAGGTAACTTTTAAACAGTTGTAATGCAACTCCACGCACCCCATAACTTGATAATTTATGAATCAATGATTTGAATTGTATGGAGTCAAATGCCTTTTGAAGATCGAGGAAGAGCCCAAGGGTATATTTTTTGTTTTCCATATTTTCGATTATCTTATCTTTGATATACAGTAGAGCTTGTTCTGTTGATTTATTTTTTTGAAAACCATACTGACTTTGTGTTATTATTTGATGCTTATCAAAAAAGGATGCAAGCCTATCATAAATAACCCCTTCAAATATTTTTGATATTGTTGGAAGCACAGATATAGGTCGATAGTTCGCTAAAGTATTGATATCACCACCTTTATGTACTGCAGTGACTTTTGCCACTTTTAACTGCTCTGGAAATACACCGTTAGTGAGGGTGAGGTTGATAATATAGGCCAACACATTAGATATCAATGGTTACACCATTTTTAACTCAACAGAACCTATCTCATCAATCCCTGATGCAACATTGTTTTTAAGTTTTCTGATTAATCTTTCTACTTCAACCGGATCTGTGGGTGCGAGAAAAATAGAATACGGCAAAGGAGACTTATCAGGAGTTGGAGCATTATCTCGCTTTTCATCCGTTAAAATAAAGGAACCCGCATTTATGAAATGTTCATTCATAACATTGGCCAACCTTTCACCACTGAAAATCTGACCATTAATTGTTAGGTCCTGTGTCCTAATACAACCCTTATTTGTATTCGTAAGCCCATTTATGACCTCCCATCGTTTCCTCTGGTCATTGTAAATGCTTTCAAATAATTTTTCATAGTAGTTCTGTTTAGCCTTCCGTATTTCTGAATTTAAAACGTTTCTGTATAGTATGCTCCATAACTCATGCCGACTCCTAATAAAGGCAGTAATGTGCATGTTGTGGTCTGCCTGCGATCATAACTGTGTGTTTTTTAATGTTTCTTAAAACACGTGTATTGTTTACTAGGATCCATCTCAGCAGGGCCAGCCAGGCAGCACACCTTTGCTGGTATTTGTCAACTCCAAGTCTGGTGACAACCAAGGAGTACGTTTCATACGACGCTTCAAGCAGCTTCTCAATCCAGCTCAAGTCTTTGACCTCATGAATGGAGGCCCCAGCCTTGGGTAGGTTGCAATACTGCAGAGACACCTTTGCTGTACTAAGCAGTTATATGAACACTACAGAGGATTCGACCCGGTCAGCACAAGGCATCCCTTCATTCTGGGCTTTTAGCGGTCTAGCTGTCTGTTCTTGCTGTGCCTTTCCTAGCTTTGCCAAAAAGAATAATAATAATAAATGTGGGTGTTTAACGTCCTAAAACCATTATAGGATTATGAGAGACACCGTAGTAGAGGGTTCTGGAAATTTTTAGGACCTGCGGTTCTTTAACATGAATCTTAGTGTGAGTACACGTGGCCTCAAGCATTTCCACCTTCATTGAAAATGCAACCACTGTTGCTGGAAATTAATACCGCAACCGAGGGTTGCGGTATTAATTCCTAGCAACAGTGGACGCATGACCCACAACTCCTTAAGCTGTGGGTCATGCGTCCTCGGTGTATGTAGTAGGTAGCCACCTCTCATTTACTTCTTGAAATGTCGGCTAGATGACGGCATCGTAATCATCGTAATCAATATACTCGTCATAATACTCACGTACTCATCATAATACTCATTTACTCAACATAATCAATATATAATGAAAAGATGCGAGATGGTGGTACTTGGAGTGTTCACTAGACGGATGGACGTACAGACAGACAGACAGACAAATGGACGGACGGATGGACAGATTGACCCACAGTTCGACGAACTGACGAATGCACGAATGAATGGACGGGCGCTTCTCCCCACTCATCATAATTCAGTCTGTGGATATGCTGTGATTTTTTAAAGTTACTTGCATTTATGTGAAAAAAATTTTGTGCCAATATTTACCACGTTGAAGGCCGGAAGTACTTTTGATGCCTGAAACACACTGTTTAATACCTAAAAATCTTGCCTCTACTCATAACTTGTGGGATGAGACCAGTAGGCTAGTAAATGGAATGTTATGCCTACAAAGTGGAGTGTCATCCATGTATGTGGCTTCTCAGTCGTAAGAAATAACTGAGGAGCTGAGAGCAATGCAAGCAAAGGTTCAGGTTCTTTGACGACCCTTTTCATCATCACAGGAAGGTTGTTTTAATTCTAGGCAGAGTACAGTAGCATCTGGGGGAACCTTCATTCAGGACTAACCTAGTACAGCAATTGCGGTTCAATGTTTCTCAACCGCAACATCAGAAAAGAAAACCGAGTCAAAGATAGGATTTAGTCCATCCTCATTCCTTTGCACTCTGTGTACGTGTTTCCACAGAGGATTTCGATGCATACTTGTCATACTCAAGCCATCGTCGCCATCAGTGTACAATTTTCATGCATGGCAACACTTACACAGGCTAGAAGCTTGGTTTGTTTAGTGTCGAGTTAGGCATAAAATCCACATAGCCCACAGAAAACCAACAGATAACTCTTGATGTTACAATAACAATAATAATTATTGGGGTAATAATGCCCCAAAATTACTATATGATTATGAGAGAGGCCCTAGTGGAGAGATCCGGAAATTTTGACCACCTGGGGTTCTTTAAAAATGTCCACCTTAATCTAAGCACACGGGCCTCAAGCATTGGGCAATGCTTACATGATTCAGTGGCTCATGTAGGTACATAATCGGTATGGCTTGTTCATTCCATAACAGTAATAATGGCAATGCCCATTGCATCATACTATATCTCAATTTAATAAAAAGGCCTCAGAAGAAGAACCAGGGCTGTCGGGTAATGTGGTGGAGGCTTAAAAGGCTGATGCTCCTCAAGCTTTGTGATGGTGCATGTCTGAGAATGCTGATCTAACCAGACTGCGTCATTCGTTTCTGTTATGGAAGTTTTCTGTGGTCCTAAAGAGTGTTGCATAGCTCTAAGTGCTTCAAGTGGGCAAAAAAGTATCCTGAAGGGCCAGATGACTCATCACAGTAACATACACATGTTACTGTGATGAAAACGTTGGCAGCGCATTGCTCGTTGTGTAACTGTGTTCCGCTCTTCGATGACTGTAGAATTGTCACGGCATATCCAAATCGTATAGAGCGCAGTTTTATAAAGCTTTCAAGATCAAAAAAAGAAAGAAAGCATGCGTCAGTGAGCCATTAATCGCACTTCTTGAAAAGGAAATGGCGTGCTTGTTAGGTTAATGATATTATCTAGACATGTAGTTGACGTTATGTTTTTTGCTTCCTCTCCGTGACCATGGGACCCTCCTCTTTTTAATTCTTATTGTTCGTATATGTTTCCATAGCAATAAGCCGACACTCAATTGTTTGTCGGTGCTTGTGTTGTTTTTTACCCTCTGTCCCATTATATGTGGTTTTCATCACTGCTTCAAGTGTGCCTTTGAGATAATGATCAGACTCATTTCGTGGGCCCAATGAAGTGTTTGGTGGTATTTCTTATTACATTGGTTTAAGCTATGGGAGCTCCATACTAAGATTGCCACACTCACTTTATGGTCCTTAGTTCAGAAACCAAATGCCTCGACTGAAAACAGCACCCTTGCATAGTCTACGTCCAAATAAATTCACACAAATTTTACAACCTGTTGATCTAAATAAATTGTTGTCCTTGGCTTGATGTTACTGTTTGGACAGTCTGAAAGCGTATATGTTAGGTAAGATGTTTTAGTAGGCTGATGCTTTGGGCTGATTTTGATAAGTTGATTTTGCATAATGAAGTACGAATGTACAAACAGCGGAATATTCTACTTTCATAAGGGAGGTTTAAAAAAAATCTTGTCATCCGTGACATACATATATATTTTTTAACATTTTTTTGTATACATTTTCTTTTTATGTAAAACAAAATTCAATTGCGAGTTAGCGCTTGTCTGCTTTTGTGTGCCCATGTAGAATATCGCTCTGTTTGTACTTCATAAGGTGCAATGTTATTAATTTGAATTAGTTGTGGTTGCTGTCAAAGCCTGCCATGTCCTTCATTCGTTGGCACCCATTCAAATGCATATGCGTGTGCAGGCTTCGAATGTTTCGGGCTTTCGTGCCATTGAGGGTGCTTGTGTGTGCGGGAGATGGCAGCGTGAGCTGGGTGCTAAGTGAGATGGACCGGCTGTCACTGCACCGCCAGTGCCAGACGGGCGTGCTCCCACTGGGCACAGGAAATGACCTTGCACGAGTGTTGGGCTGGGGATCCGTTTGCGATGACGATGCCCAGCTGCCACAGCTGCTCGAGAAGTACACCCATGCAGCTCCTCGGCTCCTTGACCGGTGAGTTCCGCTCTCTGTTCTGACAGCTAATCAAGGATTGCCACACCCGGCATCGATACCACTATAATCAATAATTGATAACCTCCTCGTTTTATGGAGCTGACTGGTGATGTGACATCAGCCGAGCCTTAAGACATATCTTGCATGAGGTAGTGAGCTTGAAGTAGTAGATGCCATGGCAACGAGTTGGCCACCGTAGCACAACTGGTAGTGCAATGCACGTAGGGTGTGGATGCTCCGGGTGTACCTCCCATCAGTGCCAAGTTGTTTTCTGTTCACTTTTATTTTTCTTGTCACTTAAGGATTTTTATGCTTCAATTAAAACCTGAACTATTTTTACTATACTTTTTTTCTCTTTATTGTGGGTTGGTTTCCCGAATATGTGATGAGGCTTTCATTGCAATGTTGAAAGCAAGCAATTCCAGCAAGTTTTGGAATCTGTTCTGGAATTTCTGCAAGAAAGTAATAGCAATGATGCATATATGGGCCATGCTCCTTCACTCCCAAAAATTCTCTGATTCATAAGAATATCTAAAGTGTAAAGTTATTCCATGGACCATTGAAGGCATGTCAAAGTTTATATATTTTCTGTGTCAAGGTGTACTCAGAACTGTGTATGCAACTGGTTTTGCGCACTCTAGTCGGCTTGGTGTGCTTATTTATAAAATGATTTCTTTGATAATGAATTTTGTGACAAGTTTATTTTAAAAGGACAAGAGCCAAGTTAATGAATATTGCTAAACTTTCTGCAGTGTCTGAAATTGAACTTTTTTTTTTGTCTAGGTGGAGCATTATGACATATGAAGGGACCATGCCACTGCCTTCCAGGAAGATGTCCACTCCGGTACGCCAATATATTCAACAAAAATTTTGCATCTTGTTTTTTCTGTTGCACTGAGCAGCTTATCATGGCTGGAAAGCTGGTTTGCTGTAGCGCATCGGTCAGTTATTTGGAGATCGTTTCACAGTGCCCAGTCACACTTTTGATTTCAGTGAGTGCCAAGTGAGCTGGGATCTACTGTGGTTTTCATGTAAACATAGCTGGCTACATGAGCACATAAAACCGCACACACCATTCCGCTAAATCTTCGCTTTGCACTGACTGTTGTATTCGTTATGGGTAGTTAATGAAATAGGTTGCAGAAGGCATGTAGAAAGCAGCCAGCTGGCACACAATTTGAATGCATCTTCTCTTCTTTCCAGTATGACCGAATCGCTGTTTACGAAGACTCCGTGGTTGCTCATCTATCACAGATACTACACTCTGATCAGCACTCAGTGGTGATCTCATCAGCAAAGTAAGAATGCATGCCACATTTCCTTTAATTATTGTTTCTCCTAGTCATATTGGTTTCTTTACCATTGTAACATTGCTTAACCTTACAATCAGTATCATTGTGGTAATGATCAGCTTATTCTTTAGGACCTGCTGTAGTGAGACCTAGTGGCTGTGGCATGGTGCTTCCAAACACGTGGCCTCGATTCCTGGTCTCAGTGAATGCATGTAAAGAGAAGGCCATGTTCAAAAATGCCTTTGTACTTAGATTTAGGGGAACATAAAGAACCCTAAATGGCGAGATTTAATTTGATAGCCTTAATCACAATGTGACCCTTATCGTTTGAGAAGCACTTAGCTACTGTCCTAGTCACCTGGGAGGCAATTGAGAGCTGCCTCTGAGTAATGTTTGTCAATGCACAATTTTTGTGTGCTCAAAGTTCACCCGCTTGAGTGAAGTTCACCCAAAAAATGTTATGTTCATGTTCATATTTGTGTGAGCAGTTGTTGCATGCCAGTTTTCTCTTGCTTATTGTCAGAGGGTCTCATTCATTCAGTGCAGTATCATTCTTTACCATCTGTTGGACATTTACGCTGCAGAGTCCTGTGTGAAACTGTGAAGGACTTCATTGCCAAAGTTGGTGCTGCCAACTCCTGCGGTTCTACTGAGATTGACAAAGACTCTATATCACATAAGGTGAGTGGAGATGAACAAACTATTCCAGGCATTTCTCAAATTGCCAATGGCAGTATGAAGACGGCACATGCGTTACAGTTTTGCTGAAAACAATAAATGTGAAAGCTCTAAAATTTATGATCCCGTCACTGCACTCCGGCTGGGGTCTACACCACGACCCTGTTTGAAGCCAAGAGGAATAGCTTCATCAAAGCTGTGCAACAACTTGTGCACACTGTAGCATTCTGTACTCATCCTACTAGTACATGGCCATTAATACCCTCATCACAGGGGCATCCTTGAAAAGCCACACATTCGATGGCCTTCAGAACACCACGACTTCATCGACTCGATGGAGTTGTTGCGCTGCTACATGTCAATTTTTAACACCCGTTGGGTGGTTCGGGCATTTGTTGTAAAAATTACATTGCCCTGCAGATCTTTATTTTGATTTTCATGTCATCAAAAATTAACTAATATTATTCCACATAAAAACAGATACTATGTGTATTGCTTTGGTTTATACATTTGAATAAGTTGTTGGTACATTGTTATACATAATTGCTGAGTTTATAGGTTGTTGAGGAGCGAAGCTGTGATATCATTTGCACCACTCAATGCAGCTGCCATGTGGAGTAGACTCTCAGTAAAAAGAAATCTGTTGAGCAGAACTGCTGGTTAAATGAAACAGCTGCCTCCGATATGATTGGCTTTGTATTTGTATTCTGCAACCCTGTTCATCTTTCAGTAAATAAAACTCCTCTTGAACGGAGCATATTTTCCTCCTCTCTTCGAGTTCTGTTTAATGAGAGTCTACTGTTTTTTCAACAACATAGGCACACCATTGTTGTCAAGAGTATGTACGGTTTATACATTTGAAATAGCAAGATTTATTTTCTAGAAATTTATTAAGACGCATATATGCTATTTTTTGGGCATACTGGTTAAATTTTTTTCTTTTTAACTGAGAGTATGAGCACGTTAAATGCAAAGGCACATTTGCACTGTTTCTACTTCCACTGCTCAATGGCCATCAGGATTTCAGTAGAGTTCTATGGTGCTCTGTTGACTTGATAGTCTGTTAAATTGGCGTCCTGCTGAAGTGCCCATGTAGCAGCTCGAACTTCACCTTTGAGCCAGTGGACTATCGGTTGGAAACAAACGCCCACGTCACATGGGTATTATCGTGCCTCTGTGCTTCCCAAGATACCAAGTCAATATAAGCCGTTATCGATGTTGCTTGTTCATCTAGTAACCCTTTTTTATCAATAGCTGTCCTTCCTCAGAAAAAAAAAAGTTGCATAATGAGTGCACTTTTGCTCAACACAGAGTCAGCACAATTTGTGAGAGAGTGCAATACTATCAAACTCTCATTTGCATATTTGTTAGCCATAGTGTCATAACGTATGAAATTGTACAACACAGAATACAGAACGAAAAACGAAGAAGCACTCACGTACTTTGCCCCGGCTTTCCGTTCAGTTGTAGCCATTTTGTGTTTGACAGGATACTATACCATTGTATAGTAGATGTATCATGTTTGCATTCAAGTTAGACCTAAGAAACTGAACTTGGTTTAGAGTGTTCATCATAGTAGAATTGGCATGTTATTTTACAAGCATTTGCTATATCTGATAAGCATTTGTAATATCTGAATGTTGCTACCAGTATGTCAGTGGGAAGCTTGTTGTCCACATGGCAAGCTAGGAATTCTTGTACAGTTGTGGTTATCGGTTGTAACCGCTCATAATTTTCACTCATTCTGCATCTACTAGCTGCCTCTCTTTACTTGGTCTGGTACATAGAAAAAAATGTGCCTTAAGCGCTTTTAAAATCTTTGTTATATAGATTCTTTTTTACATTGTTTGAGGATGAGTTTAATGAAAATAAATTTACATTTATAGATGGTACCAGCAGTCTATAAGTTGGCAGACACATGGTATTTAAAATCTGCCTGATTTTCACCAGGTGACAGCATTTTGCAGCTGCAGGAACAATGTAAATATGGTGTCCAGTGTAGTCATCAGTACCTAATATATGTTATCCAAATACCACTTCTTTTTACAATTATTGCCCTGATACATTAAATAATGTTAGATGCTTAAGAGCTGTTTTATGATGTTTTAAAAAACTGTTGTCAGGAATCTTGTAAATGCTGGCAATCTTGCATTGAGTATGAGGGTGTTTACGTCAAGGAGCTCTACAGCCTTGTGCTTACTGTTCATGCACAAAGCAGATAATTTGCTTTAAGGTTTTCATCTGACTTAGCCTTATACCTAAGAGAAGTAAGTAACTCAACCACATCTTGCTGGCAGGGGCATTGAAAGTTGTTGGCATGCTAGTCGTAAATTCAATGCACATTGCTTAGATACCAAGTTGAGCCATTGCTGTGACAGCCATCCCAAATTTTTAGGAAGCAATCAGCCCTGCCTTTGTGGCAGCAGCTGCTCTGGTTTCCAAGTAGGCGTAGACGGTCTTGATTTACTGTTATCAGTGTTTAACAGTATTGCCTATTCACTGTTGTATCAGGCATATGCTAGTGAGTGCATTTTGCCAACTTTGTAAAAGCCTTTTCTGTCTGATACATTACATGAGCAGTGCAAAGTTCTCAATGAAAAACTGGACTCCTTGCTGAAAACTCTGAAAGAGGAGTCACTGGCCATTGAGCAGTCTGAACCTGAGGCACAAATTGGCAAGAAGGAACCAGACGAAGACAAAGACGAGAATAGAACAAGCACAGCCCTGAAGCCAACAAAGGTCAGCTTTGAATGTTCGTTTGCATGACGGTACCACCTTCTCAGTATATGATTACAGAGTGACTTCCTGCAGCATCTGATGCATGCCCATGTACAGTTGTGTTTGTTTAAAATGCTACTGTGCAAGATGTATATGTGCATATGTAATGTTCCATGATACAATTAATTTTCATGGTGTAAATAAGATTCATTTATTCAAGAATATTGTTACAGGTAAATATTAAAAGTTCACACCATGCTCTATAGCTCAATATAGTCATAATGAAGGTTATCACTAAGGTATAATTACAGATGAAACTCGATTTAACTCTACTTAATTTCATGAAATTTCCAACCTAACAAAAAATTTTCATTCATCGGCAAGTTTCCATTAGAGTTCACTGCTATCCGCACAAATTTCTGAAACTAACTCAGTGCCAAACCCAATATTACAAACATTTTCCTGAAATGAAAGTGTAAAAAAGCGATTTCTTTCTAATTTTGATGCACTGAGGTTTTTCTTGTAGCATGCACTTAATGCTATTGCATTAAAGCATCTAACTGGCCTGCACACCACGACTACACCATGCACGAAACAGTGGATTCAACATTCAGTAGCGCTCTTACATCTACATCCTGGTGGTGCTAAGGGTGGCAGCAGTTTATTGGCCTTTTAGGTGCCCCTACAGGAAAACCATGGTGATTGCTTTTCTTGTTTCATTATATATGAAAAAAAAAGACTCATTGTCCTGTCACAACTACCTCCACTTGCTTGTGATGTCACTACGGTTGGCCTCCCAGTTTGTTCATATCAGCAACCTTTCATAACTTCCAAGTGACCGGCTACATGGACTGCATTTCCTATACTTAGGAGGCGATGCCCGGGTTGCTTTCATGGACTTTTACATACCCGGGCATGAATAAACCAGAAATATAATGCTGGAGAAGCTTTTCGGTATTGCTATGTCAAAATTTCAGATTTCGAAGGACAAGACGTCGTGCTCTCAATTTTATGAACTTCCTGATTTAATGAAGTAAATTAAATCGTGGTCATCAGTTTGTTAAATCAAGTTTCAATTGCCGTCATATCATATAAAAAAGTTAACACTGGCACCCACGCAACAGCAAGATTACATCAGATACCAGCTAAGAGTGATGCTACAAACAGTTGGTTCGACGTTCAGTAAGCTGTTTACTATCTTATAGTACAAATCCTGCGCACATAATATGCCTGCCTGTGGTCCTCCACAGGCAAGCATCTGTATTTTAAATATAGCTCTATACGTCATAGTTTCTCAAGCTTTGCGACAGGCTGACATGGCTAATTATTGTGATTATGCATTGCCTCTCTATGTTATCTGCAGACAGCATTTATACAACGAGAAGCTCTCATGCTGAGGGCCAACAGTCTCAAGAAAGCAGTTCGGCAGATTATTGAGCACACTGAAAGAGGTCAGTCTATCGCATTCACATCATCCATTTCTTTCTTGATTATTATTTAGAAACTTCTTACTGTACATTAGTTATATAAGTTTGTGCTCAGCCGGAAAACTATTGTTTTTTTTTAATTATACAATCGAAATTCTTACAATATTCTAGGCAGTATCTACTGGCTGCATCTTGGAGTGATTACGCAAATGGCCGTGAAGAAACAAAAGAACAAAGTGTGGCCTTAGCTAATATGTAAGGAGGGGGGAGGGTGAGGGTCAAAAGTTCTCAGGCCACACTCCCATAGAAATACATGAGATAGTGGCCTGGGAACTTTTCACCAGCCCTGCACTTTCCTTGTATAAGGCCAGCACTATGTTAGATTGAAACTGAATGCCATAGATAGCCTTAACATGCCATCTCGATTGTCTGTGCCTTGGGCAAATGTGGTTAATGTTCTGTACTGTCTGCAACCATGCATAGCGGAAGTTTTTTTTCTGCCTAATTTGTGAAAAGATATCCCCAAGATCATAAATGGGAACCGTTTTTGTAACATTTAATTTCATTTCCCATTCTTTTTTAAGCAATCATAGTCTCCCTGAGTGGCTAATTATCTTACACATCAAATGAATGACAAAGGCTGAAAGAATTAAGAGTTCAATACATGTCTTACTGTGTGAAGGTTGAAACGAACAAACAAGGCAGACACTGATGTGTGCTAACTGATTCACTTTTCACTTCATGGAAAGAAGCGTTTGTCTCTGATAAAATAGAAATGATAGAAAAAAATTGAGATGGCATGTGTGCCCACCTCATTCAGTGTCCAAAATCATTCGTGAATGTTCTTCAACATGTCTTACTAACAAAGCTGAGCATATGTGCTCGCCCTAGCTTTGCTTTGAAAGAACTGTCAAGCTGAAAGCACATGGTGCTATTGATGTGCAGCTAAGGAGGTGTGGACGTGATTTTTTTTATGCACACGCTATGGGGTCCATCAAAATATTGTGCAGCCATGTGTTGCTACTCGAAATATAAAAAAGTGCATCCTACAGTGCATTGCATGTGGGTCCTCTTGTAAGAGGTCAGAGTCCAGTTTCTAATGGGCTGGCTTTTTTGAATGTTCTGCACATCTTGGCGAAACATTGTCTTGGCACAGCTAACATTGAAGTTTTCCAACAAAAACAAATGTTACTGTTGCTAACATGGCTTTGCATATAGTGTACACCTTTTTCTTTTCATTGTCACTGTATAATGTTCTAAATGGGTAAAGGAATATTTAGCAATTATGCAAAATTCATTCCAATTGCTATGTTTGGTAATTTTAACAGTATGCACTACTGCTGCAGAAATTCACAGAAATAATATCATTGATATATATGTCTTGCAATATGACCTGAAATATGTCTTGCTACTCGGAAAAGATGGTGTGGAACTGCCACTGCACTTTTTCATGCGGGTGCTCTCGCCACAGTGACAGGGCAAACATTCGCCTACACATTACGCTTTTTGCTCACGAAAAATGTGCCATGTGGGTCTAGCTTAAGTCACACAGAAGCTTGTGGGTGGTTCACTTAAATGTCGTTTTCTGACCTTTCTGCCTAAAGCCGTGGATGAACAGAATGCCCAGACCAAAGTGCGAGAGGAGAATGTGGAGGATACAAACCAGAGTGCAGAACGAGTTTATCAGGAAGAAGAGAAAGGCCTCGAGGTCCAGGCACTGTGGACGGACCTTGTGGACCCTGGAGGAGGAAGCAGCCCGGCTACAGATGCCGAGTTGTCAGCAGAGTTGCCTGTGCTCACTACCAGCTTCCATGAGTCATCAGAATGCTGGGACCCCTGGGGAATTGCAATGGGACAGAGTGTTGGTGCACCGCTCAAGGACACACTGCAGGTACGGTCAGGAGAAAGGCTCGCTAGTTTAAACAGAAAGCTGTTTGGAGGCACCTTTGGACAGGTGTCGATTATGAAAAAAAAGAAAAAAGCTTACCTTTGCTGTCGGTCTTAATTTAAGGCAATAATAGTGCCACGTCCAATATCTTTTGTCACAGGCGTTTCCATGAAATCTCGCAAGAGAGCATTGTGTCAAAGTCACCAATGCCATGGTGTGATTTGCAATGTCTTGTTTGCTCTGTCTTGGCTGCTTATCGATCCTGACAATACATATGCATTGCAAAAAAAAAAATCCCTAAAATTTTGACAACTTTTGGGGTTGGAGACATGTGTTTTCGTTTCTCTAACTGCAATAAAAATGATGTCCTAGTTTTGTAAGTAGCATCTCCTGGTACTAGGTATAAACTGAATTCGAAGGAAATAGAAGTGATTTGGTCGAATAGTCCAAATTTAACACGTAACATTCGTGTAAAATGTAACATGTAGCATATAACATTCAAACGAAAGCAAGTACGTATTCACTAAGCTTCAAGCTTAGCATTGTGGCTCCCTGAAAGGTATGCCATGTGCAGCAGGCATTTAACACCGCTTTAGACAACAGAGATTATCAATAACATTAAGCGTTTCATCTTCATAGTGCAGTATTTGAAACACTTAACAAACTTGCTCATATATTCAATAAAGAAATGTGACTACGCAAAGCATAGAAATCTACATTCTTAAATGCAATGTGGCTTCACCATATACTGTGCAAGCGGTGGAGAAGTTAAATAGTACTATATTTTAACAGTTCTTGGTTTATACAGCTATGAATAGCAAAATATGTAGCATGGGTGTAGTATCTGCCTTTAAAAGCCCCCCCCCCCCCCCCACCTCCCCCAACAGTATTCAAGCGCTCAAGGAAATTCAAACTGTGAGAAAAGAGACGGCTACCCTCAACTCGATCTTTGCAGCTTCACCTGACATTTCACTTGTGACTGACATTGGAAAGTGCCGCCAATAGTATGAGCTGAAAGCTCCTACATAGCGGAAGCTTCCGTAGCAATTTGGCTCTTTTATCCAATATATTAATGATGCCTTTCGTGACAGTGACAAACGATGTTCAAAATGGGGCAGCTTGCAGATGCCTGCATGGTTTTTGTAGCTTTAGTGATCTTCATCGTTGTGATGTCATCTGTTTTAATGCTCTTACATATTTCTCTTCAGTTTGAAAACTATAATGCATCCAGCGTCCCCTGCACACTTATTGCAGCATAGAACCATTCAGTGCATAGTTTGCCTGGTACTCCACATTGCAAGGGAACACAGAAAGGTGTCACTACACTCAAACCACGATATAACGAGTCTGTATATAACGAATCCAGATATAACAAAATATTGGTTATAACGAATTAAATGAAAAATAGTCCTGCAATAGATTTAGTGTTAAGAATAGACCTCTATAACGAATTTTCGAATATAACAAAACTTATTTTAATGTAAGATGCAAGTTTGTTTTAATAAGTTTCGTGTGTATGTGATGTGAACCCTGGAGGTAGTTTCATACTGAAAAAAAAAAAGAAAGAAAGAATAAAGAAAGAAGTGAAAAGCCTAAAAGCATGACGCGTTTAGTGAGAGAGCATGCAAAAGAAAAACTAAACCTAATTAAACCTAATTTTGATGCAATGCCACAATCACATCTAACATTAGGTTTGGTATGGCCATTGGTAGGCCTTCACTCTCTTTCATCATTTCCACTCATAATAGTTCTGTACCACTATGATTTGATGTAACATGCAGTGAGGAAGGCACTGTTGCTATGCTTCTTCACGTTTCCTTCTTGAAGTGAGTGAATTTACAATTAAGCTTGATTATCTTTCAGCTGGGTGAACTTTTTTGCATTGCAACTAAAGTGGCAGTAGAGAGACTAGTCGTAGCCTGTAAACAAGAAAAGAGAGTGAGGAAGAGGCATTGTGCTTGATGGGTTTTTTTCTTTCAGGTGACTCTGGCCACCATCGAGGGCGGTCTCAGTGCAGACAGCTCTCCATGTCCATCACCCCGCTCTCTAATGGCCACTCCTTCACCAAGTCCTTCACCATGCAGTGTGTCGCCACAGCCAGCCAAGGAAGAGTGTCGGCCACAACGGGAACTTCGCCGGTCATCACTGAGTCCGTCATCATTGCATCCAACCAGCCTTGCGCTGACGCCCACAACCGAAGAAGATGACGATCGCTCATGGGGAAGTCCGCAAAGGACTTCGAAAAAGAACAAAGGTAAAGTTATGTCATTCAGCACTATATTTGCCACTTATCTAAGCTCAGCTCAGCCTTGTAGTGCAGAGAGAAGTGTGGCCACTACAAAGTGCTAAACTTCAGCAGAGGCTTACTTACTCGTCCCCTGGTATAAATACATGCGGTTTTAACAGCAAGTGGTTAAATAAGGAATGAAACCCAAAAACTATGCGACGTAATCACACAGAAGAGTGCTGAAATCACTAGTGGATTCACAGGCTTGCTATTGTCCGGTTGCTTGATATACTCACATTATGCCTACATCTGTTCTTTTTCAAAAAGTTCCTAGTTACTCATTCCTTTACTTCAAAATAATCCACTGATAACGTACTTCACTCACATTAGAGTGCTTTGTGGTGATGTGGGAGCCTGGAGCAGCTGCGTACTCGAGACAGCTCATTGGCCATAGGCACATGCCTTGTTGGCTCTTGCTGCCTGCACACTCCTGGTAACCTGCCTGCACTTAGCCTTTTAAAAACTACATTCTCAACATAACCAGAAGTAAACCATTTGGGGCATTGCCTGCATATGTCACAAGGCTAGATCCACTTGCAGCTTGCAGCATCCTCCTCCGCTCTGTGTTGTGGACGCTCTACATCATGTGCACTTAATTTGTCTTGCCCCACATGCAGGTGAAAGCAAGAAACGCTCAGCATCCAAAGCAAGTGGCAGTGCTGCAACAGCACAGTCGCCCACGGGCTCTCGACGCATCAGCAGCGGGAGCACTCTGAAACATCTGGGCCTGTCATTGCTTCCTGGCGAGCGAAGCCCATCGGAAGAGCTCCCGCCGTCTTCCACGCATCCACTGAGCACTTCCCCACAACAGCCATTGCAACTGCAGCAGCCGCAGCAGCAACAGCGCACTTTCCCCATTATAAACCCTCTGGCGTCACTGCCCATGTGGCCTAACCTGAACCGCGAGAGTCTGGTGGGCAAGGTGCTACTGGCCAATGCCGATGCACTCTGCGCGGCCGCCTCTCCTTTGATGGATGTTGAAGATGTGTCATTGTAAGTTGCATTGCATCGTGAAATTCTCAGTAATTATGCTCGCAATATTATTTGTCTCGGAATTCTAGATGTATTCCATTCACCTTTGAACACATACAGTTAAACTTGGATATAATGAAATTGACAGCTTCCCAGAAAAATTTGTTACAAAGAGAATTTCATAATAGTAAGCAGGTTCAGTACGAAAATTTTATAAAAATAAGTGCAAACGAAAGGGGAACTGAAGACAGAGCTAACCCAAACACTTATATAGTGGCAAAAAACTGCGTTATTATTGCGATAGCAATTATATAGACACTCTCAGCGGGTTTTAGTGAGTTTTTGCAGTTGCCGCCATTTTCTATAACAAGTCCAAATTGGTTAAATGCCCTAGTGCATCGTAACTTTTACAATCGGGTAAACGTGCACGAGCGCTGCTGAAGCCTCTATCGCGTGGAGGACATGCATACAATAACATTCCCCCTGCATGTTAGAAGTGCTGTCGAATGCTCAAACAGATAGGAAGCTACCCGTCTTGAATGAGCACAAAAAACACAAAGGGGGGTTGCTCAAGTAGCAACACTGAACTTTGATTAAATGTTTTAAATGTATTGCAATGAATTGTAATGTTACACAGAAAGTAGTCCAAATGAACTATTGAAGCTGTGGACAGCATTAGGAATTTAATTATAATATATCCTAAGAAGCACTGAAAAGCTAACACCAATGTATCAAAAAACATCTACCACACAAACAAAGCATTCAGTTTCATTTTTACGTTCACAATGCATTACTTCTGAAGCATTCTTATTTTCAAATAGCCGCACTTATGTGCTGGGGAGCTTCAGTAGTTCTGTAGTGCGAAGCATATATAATATGTGAGAAGCTTGATGTTTTCTGTTTCTCTCAGGGAAGGCTTTGAAGAAAAGTGTGTCATGAACAACTACTTTGGCATTGGTCTGGATGCCAAGATCACTCTTGAGTTTCACAACAAGAGGGAAGAGCACCCTGAGAAATGCAGGTAAAGCTTTATTCAGAATTTTTCATTGTGATACTCCACGTAAAAAGTCGATGTAAAGATGATGATAGCATAGACTCCTGTTGCAGCAGTGTGCATGACATAACCCCATGTCTTCGGGGGTCTTTTACATTATCGCAAAGATGATTCGAAAGCTTAAGAGGCAGGACTGAATCATCATGTGAGAAATCAACGAGCCGTTTGGCTCGTTGCACCTCATTTCGTACTCAGTCGAGCTTTCTCTGGCTTTGCATGCCTTTTTGACTTACCACACCATCCACTAGGCCCCTGACTCAGCGCCTTTTATCATGCTGCCTTTTTAGGGGCGAAGCTCCTTAAGACCTCACGATGTCCGCCGTCTCCCATCTGTCCGCTAACATGTCTTCATCTGTCTGACATTTCTGAACCATTTTCCATGTAACCTTCAACTTATAAGCAACAGAGGGCGCTGGTAGTAACCGTTTTGCATTAACCTTCAACTTATAAGCAACAGAGGGTGCTGTGGTTAATTGTAGATGTGATGGCGCTGCTGTCAATGCTATATAACCACGTTCCATACCATGCATTCTCTTCTCTCATATGGACGAAGACAAACGCAGGAAAGCGCGACGTGCTGAGTATCAGCGTCGCCGTCGACGGGAAGCTACCGCGGAGACAAAAGAGAAGGAAGCGGATGCAAAGCGGCGACGGCGACAACAAAGTTCTACACCACAGACTAGGGCTAAGGAATTAAGCAAAGGCTAAGTGGGAAAAACGCCAAGCTGACGCGCAGTTGAGACAACTTGAAGCGGATGCAAGGCGGCAATACCGACAAGAAAATTCTACACCAGAGACGACAGCTAATGAAGCTGTGATTATGAAATCAAAACGTAACCCGGAACTCTAAACCTCATATCAGCTATAAAGAAGAACCAACGCTTATATCACAATCGGTCTCAGCACTATCTTTTTGAATAAAATAAATATATAAGTATCGCAACCACAATCAGTCTCAGTACTATCTCAACATTAATCACAATAATCACCTCCGAAAGCTTTGCCCCATAATTATCTTCAAGCAGCTTGAAATGCAGTGATTTTTTTTGTTGCTCTGTCGGCCTCAATAGGTTGAGTCACGCATTAGGATGCTTTTAGAACTTTTCAAGTTGTGCAGTCAAGGCAAATACAAAGCAAACATTTTTGTTCAGTTTCTGTGTGGATGCTGGCTATTTTCTTATGGCCATATTCATCATCACAATAATTTATTTTATCTTTAAAGGGCCTCTCACCAGGTTTGACAATTTTGAGCTGACAAGCGAAATGCGTAGACGAGGTGTTCATGATCACGTCTGCCAAAATTTGCAACACTACGCACCGCAGAAATGGGTCAATTTTTAAGATGAAAGCTGCTCTCCCTCCCCTCTACCGGCGCACGCGTAGAGAATGAGGGCATGAGGTGGGCGTAGGAATGGCCCTACGTACACAGCACTGCGGTGACGTTGGTCCTCTATGTAGAACACTCTGCTCTACTGTTGTCAACACTATACCACGTGACATGGCAAAAAATATTTAACACAACATGCGTAGTTTATGTATTTGTTGCTTTAAGAGATGAATAAAACTTGAAATAAATAATGAGACACAATAAAAAATTGTGCACATTTTTCTTACATTTTTTCTTGTGAAATGCTACGAGATGCGGGGCTAATGTGCCAGCGTTTCACATGCGTTCGGTTTCCCGCGGTCAGCGCGTTGAGCAGACGACCACCGTGGAATGCTCCTACGGTTCGCGCACTCATTGTGCTCATCTTCTCTACCGCGTCTAAGCTAGCGTTTCCAAACCATCCCGCAGAAACAGGCAGAAGACCACAAAATAACGCTGGTCAACAAAGCAACGCTGCTCGCGTGCTCGGGGGTTGGGCTTGTTTGGGCACGTCATGCGAACGTCACTTCTTGGTTGGATGCCAGAGAGGGTGGGGAAGAGGTTTGGCTTGCGAAGGCTATGCGGAGGAGCGACAAGGGTTTCGAGCTCGTCTCCTCTCACCCTCATTTCGCGCCGCTTTAAAGAACCTGTTTTCTCCGCTCGTAATGAACCGATTCGAAAAATTTTTGTGGCAAAACTTTCAACAAAACATTTGTGGCAAAACACCCAACAACTTCCACTGTCTAACTAAAATTCGGTATGGGGCCTGGTGAGTGGCCCTTTAAAGGCCCTTTTCAATGTATTACATAACGGAGGGGGGGTCACAAACATCAATAACAGCATGGTCATTAATACATAATTATACATAATACATTCAAATAATACATAATCTTCACATGATTCATATAAAACTTTTTTGCCCTAAAAGCTGCTGATCACTGTATTCTGGGCATTGTCAAGACGATCGTTTTACCTAGTAATACAACACTTGATACTGGAAGTGATATCAATAATGACTTGACTCAACTTGTTTCAACCTTCCACAGTATTCAAGTGGCTATGGTGTTGCAGTATATTGCATGAAGTCGCAGGTTCAATCCAGGCAGTGGAATTGCCATACTTCGATGTAGGCAATATGCCCAAGCGGTCATGCACCCGGCATTTGTGTGCATTAAGGAATTTCAGGTTGTCAAAATGAACCCATTGTCAAGCCATCATGGAGTGTGTCGTAATCAGATCATCAGACACTACCAAATTAATCATGTACAATTAAGCCTGGCAAAGCATAGTAAATGTTAATTGTTGTCTTTAACTTTAGTGTGCTAAATGTGATGTAAGTTGAAATGGAAGAAAAATCACACTTTCTGTCGGTAAGATATGAGCCCACAGCGTTGCAATTATTCATCCAATGCTGTACTAGTAGAGATACGACAAAAGGTGCTTCCCCATGCACTTCATTAAGTATTTCTGTGAATATAATTCCTGAAAGTGTAAGCCAGTGCCATTTGTAGCTCAGGCGGTGAGTGTGGAGCACTCTTTTTGCAAGAGGGTGCCATGTGGATTGTGATCTTTCACGTGGGGCTGCAGCTAGCCAATAAACCCCCGCATGCTAACCTTAGGCATAAAGTATGCCGGTAAGGCGTCAAACACATTATTTGAAGGTTGTGCATTCAGATCCCTTTGACAGAAAGGATCATTTTTCATCCACAATTGATTTCAATGTATACTACAATTAGTATTTTACAGTTAAAGACAACAATTAACATGCAGACAACAATTAACATTCACTTGGCCTAATTGTCAGTCTGATTCATTTTATCCTGTCTAACATATTAAAAAGCCGATTGGAAAAAAATTCCTTTCTTTTGTTCATAATAAGATAATGGTTCTGGCACATCAAATATCTAGCATTGAAATTATGCTCCAGTGGAGAATGATTTCTTTTTTCAGTGAGTTAATCATGAAAGTAAAAAGAAATGCATAGGAAACTTTGACCACAAATGAAAAGACTAAGAAAGGCATATGTGCACAACAGGTTCTTTATTCATGCTTGATGTTTTTTATGAACATGCAAAGCACTAGCCCACCTAGTCATCCTGTTAGAAATATTTTGTGAGCTGGCACAGTTTGTCCAAAATTTTTTGTTTGTGAGATTGCTACGTGCTGTATGTACTGCAGGTCTCGAACCAAGAACTTAATGTGGTACGGCGTTCTGGGTGGCAAAGAGCTGTTGCAGCGTACGTACAAGAATCTGGAGCAGAGGGTGCAGCTGGAATGCGATGGACACCGTATAGCATTGCCTTCCCTCCAAGGCATTGTGGTGCTTAATATTCCCAGGTAAGGGCCTTGCAAAACTAAAGGTTACCCTCTACGGTCACTATTCCAATCATAGATGATAGCAATTGTATGAAGCAGCTCTTGATAAAGAATTTCATCAAGCATCTGTAGAATGCTGTTGCAATCATACCAAGTTATGTAGTACTGGTAACTGCAATAATTAATGTTGGATTGCAAATTAAGATGCTGTATATAGCTGAGTACCATTTTTAGATATAAAGTTATAGCCTCATTTTGACAAAAATAATATGCTTATGCCATTTATGAATGTCTAGTTGGTGATAGAAAACTATAGATCACTTTGATAGCAGCAAACGGCCTCAACATTAGGTTGACACTTATCTGTGGACAAAATGTAGAGAGGGCATGATAACCTAAACAAAATGAAGGCACTGCCATTCACTTAATGAAGTACTATCCAGTGCCAGTTCAGAGCATTACTGTCTTTTCCAGTGAAAACAATTGTGCTGGGCTGTCAGCATCTGATCTTGCTAAATGCAATCAAATTGAAAGGGGATTGTAACTTGGGTCCCATTTCTTGCCTGCTCATATAGCATATTTCATAGTGGACAGATGTGGTGAATGAGCATGGCATTCATACTTGCTGTGCAAATGACACGGAACTAGTTTTTCTGGCATCAAACCCCATCTTTCTTGTTCAGTTAAAATGCCACAGGCAGTCATGGCAATGGTTGCTAATTTAGCATATTGTGTATTTTTCTTTCCTTTGCAGTTATGGAGGAGGCTCCAATTTCTGGGGTGGAAGCAAAGAGGATGATGTGAATATATTTTTATGTCTGTTTCGTTTATGCGCTGTAGCTGCCCCCACATTATAGAGAAGAGTATACAATGCATGCAGGCTCTGTTAAAAATAAAAATAAAATATTTTAGTTTTAGAATTTAAAGTGTATTTAGCATTTTGTTGCAGCAAGAAAATGGCAATTGTAAATTCTTGAATTCAGAATGACATGTCATTTTTAGTTAGTGCTAGCAGAGCCATATATAACTGTATACTAAGAAAGACATTTGCAAATCAGAACTTCCTAGGTTATTGCTTTATAGATTGTTGCATCATGAATTATAACATACTACTTAATCAAACAAGCATCTAGGTTCTATGCGTATGAAGTACGAAACAAATCGCCTGAAAAATGAAAGCTTTAATTGAACTGCAAAGCTTGTGTCCACCAAATCTTTTACAAGCATATGTAGGTTCTCTGCCACAGTGCGGTCCTTATGTTTTCGTGTGATGAACATAAAAGTGCTCATTGTGTGTTTTTACAGCAGCCACTCCGGTGTTCACTTGGCGGCTAAACATAGGCCAGAATGGAAATTTTTTCAGTTTTATCATCAGCTGTATGCACACTAGTGCACTGTATATAGTCATATGAAAGTATTTCTGGCTTAGTAAAACTTCTGGCTTTTGGTGGATATAAAAGTTTGGGTTCTGTATGAAGCCAATCTTCCTGGAAAAAAAATTTGTCATGGACTTCACATTGAGTAGAATCAATTACAAATGTCAATGTGGCCAATTCTTTCTGTAACACATTAAATTCCTAGGAATTAGAGAAACATGCAACGAAACTTTGCGACTGCTAGTTTAGAAGGAAAATGACTTGTCTCCATCATAATTTTTGTAAACAAGAACTCGGTCTAACATTTTGTCATTGCCATTCTTTGCAAAAACAGGTCTGTAGATGTCTTGTGTCATGATGGTAATTATGCCAGCTGTGATGGCAGCTTGTTTACAAGTGCTACGAACGTAGTTTGGATTCTGTACGTAATCGCACTGCTAGAAATCCGGGGGTCAAATTTTTTATAGTGCACATTATAGCTGAGTAATATAGCAATCATTCAGTTTGGGCTGTGTGTCCAGATAAGAAAACACAGCCAAGTGAATTAAACAGGCAGTTTGGCCAGGGAAAACATATGGGATGTAAATTGTTGTCTTTAACTGTAGCGCACTAGTTGCGACATAAGTTGAAATTGATTGAAGAGGATGAAACATCACCCTTTCCATCACTTGGATTTCCACTTGCAACTATTAAGTTCCACGTTCAATGCTCTATCGATTGAGCTAAGACGGAAGGCACTTCCTCTTGCTCTTCATGAGGTATTTTTTTGCGCATACCTAATGTACCCTAAGACGTAGCCATGTACCCATTGCTAACATAACCAGGGACGGCCTGGGCACGTTAGCCGGTGCTGCTGATAGCCTAAACAGAGAGTGTGGAGCGCTGTTTTTGCCAGAGGGCGTCATGGGGCATGGGATATCCTTGCACGGGGCATCAAGTGACCAGCAAGACCTCGAATTCTAGTCTAAAGCATTGTCTGGTGTGATTAGGCCCTCAGTGTGGGTTTCTCTAGATGTCGATCAAGATAACATCTCTGTAATGAACTGGCATAATCATAAAAAACTGGATTTATCTATGCTGCACTCTCTCTATTGTGAATTATAGAAGGGTGTGCTATATAATATTCTTGTGATTTTCGTCAATAAAGATGTGTTGCATGGGAAAGAACAGCTGGAGCGTTTGCTTGTTGCTCCTGTGCAGGTCTTTTATGCGCCGGCCATAGATGACAAGATACTGGAGGTGGTTGCCGTCTTTGGTACCGTACAAATGGCAGCATCCAGAGTCATCAACTTGCAGCACCACAGAATTGCCCAGGTTCTTATTGCCAACTTTCCTCCCTTTTAAACACAAACTCTGTCGTTATGAATATTTTCTTCGTGCGCACTCCCATTTGGGGGATTTATGGTGTTGCGCTGCTACGAGACATTCGATTACTGCCTCAGCAGTTGCATTTGATGTGCTCGAAATTTCCGTGAGCTTTGACTTTAATGCATTTTGAATGAATCCTGGGATGCCCGAAACTAATCTCAAGTTGCACATTTGAAGATGCCTCATTATTATGTAGCGGTTTCTTTTACTTTGAAATTCACAAACATGTTTTTCTCCTCTAAAGTTCTAAAATGTGTGAAAGCAAAGCTCTGCATAGGCTAGAATTGCCAGTCTAACTAAATGGAGCCTTGGTGCCGAGTATTGTGTGGATTGGGATCATTAGTGCATGTTCTACGACTTCAAGGTAACCACTGAAATGCTTTTAGAGCAGGATGACTGTTTGCAACACTCAATGTCATTCTTGTGCACTTTTTATATCCTTTCATTAGAACCACTCACCTTCTTTTATAATGTCAAAAAAAAAAAAGGTCTAGTACATATTCTGTATGTTATTGCCACAATTCAGCACAAGGTACTAAGCAGTTGTAAGCTACTAACAAGTTCCAAGTTAAATTTTGTTAATTTGTATTGCTTGTGGTGTATTACCTTTTTGCAAATTAATTTCCATAACGTGGAATAATTCTCATTGTTCACAGTGCCGGTCAGTGCGCATCACAGTGACTGGGGATGAAGGAGTGCCTGTTCAAGTAGACGGTGAGGCTTGGGTGCAGCCTCCAGGTTACATATGTATAGTGCACAAGAACCGCACCCAAATCCTGTGCCGAAACAGGGTATGCTTGCATTTTACTTGTATATGCCATGTAGATGCTATTTTTTACCTGTATATAATATTTTTACATCAATGAACCTCCTATTAAAAGTGAGCTAGAACACACATAGGCTCTTTTTTTACCGCTTTAGCCTTGATCTTTCTTATGATAACTAATTCTGCCTTTGCCATTGCTTTGAGCTTGCTAGCACTTTCTGCGACCCACAACCTTTAGTAATACCCCACTGTATAGTTGTAGATACAGTCGAGCCCACATATAACGACCCCACTTAAAACGAACTTTCGCTTAAAACAAACAATATCCGCATGACCGTGAAAATATACATTGGTTCAATGGCACAAAATCGCACTTACAGCGAACGTCTCCAAGCACAGCTGATCGGTTACAGCGAACGGAGTCAGTGGTCTGCCGACTTCCCGGGAAGCCACTTTCGACCACCGATCAAACATCGGCGAGGTGCCCATACATTCTTAATGTTAAACGCCGACCCTGCCTCCGCGACCCTCTAGTTGCCGCTCTCCCCGACCCATGGAGGAAAAAAAGCTGTTTTCTTCCTCCATGCCCCGACTGCTTTTCTTTACCCACCCCTCCGTCCTTTGTCCCCCCGCTACTCTGAGCACCCCGCATCGCCAGACGAGGCCCGTGTTTTCACACTGCCACCAATCTTTCGAAGACCAGTCGGCCATCTACCCTGTTTTTGATCGCTGGTACTGTCGTTAGCGTCGCCGGCCTGGAGTGACCAGACCATTTGCCAACATCGTCAGCCACCGACTGTATCCGATTGTCTGCGTCTAGTGCACGCACGTACGCTACCCCACCGACTCTGATAATCTGCGATTCGTTTCATGTTTAGGACTTGTTCTCGCTCACTTCGCACTCGGCTCAGCATGCCTTCCGCGCGCATGCGTAAACGCGAAAACGGTTCTTAATTTGTGCGGAACGAATCGCGAAATATCGAATTTCGTTAGGCCACACAAACCCGCCGGCGCAACAGAATAATTTTTTGACCACGGCCTCCGATTCTTCGAACACCGCCGCGCTGCACCGATCTAGGCGGCCATGCTTTGACTTCTGCGTGCGCAGGCACTCTTTCAAGTTTTTGTACGCGCGAGTTTCGCGGACCTTTCAAGCAAGCTACCCAACCTGCCTCCTTCCCCCGTTTTTTGGTTTTCAAGGTCGCCCTCTCGGTGCATCCTCCCCTCTCTTTATCGCAACTCCTTTCCCTTCTCTCGCAAGCATGCTAGCAAGTCTGCTCTCCTCTCTTGATCACAACTCCTTCGCCCGTCTCCACCGCTCCACGACGCCCGCCATGCTGGCTCGAATTAGTTTCGTTTTCTGACTGGAAACGGGCCCAGATGTGTTCCACGCGTTCAAGCATGTGTGTCGCATGTGCGTGTCTTGCTCGCTCTTGGCGTGTGTGTGTGGTCATGATGGCCGAAGGGAGGACTAGCACGCTTTTTCCTGCCGCTCAACAAAATGTCGAAAGTGTTACCGCTTGGCTTGAGCGTAATCCTCGCTTTAGATGCTGCATTGCAGAGCGCTTGCTCATAGCTGTTAACCACCTGGCAGCCAACTTGCCGCTTCAGGCATCTCGGTATTCAACTGTGGAGATGGTGAATATTTCGTGGGCGGCGGTGATGGCTACATGCGCGCAAGACTTTTCGCGAGGCCGACTTCGTCGACGTCGAGCCTGATGTTCAGCCTGAAGCTTCCGAACAGGACCACTGCGGCGGCGATTTGTGGCAGCACGTTGTCAACTCCGACTTGGGAGAGCGGGTGGGACATCTGTTGCGATGGTTTAATTGCGGCCGGTGATGATGCCGACACTGCGGAACTGTGCACGGATTGGGGCATTGTGAATGAAGTACGTGGCGAGAGTGATTTGGAGGAATCGGATTGCGAGAACGACTGAAACTTTGGAGCCAGTGCCTCATGCAGCTTATGCCACGGGCCACGGCGAACGAGCACCCTGCCGTTTTAAATGAACTCGAGACCGCCCTTATCGCTTCTTCTCTTCGAAACACGTGCATCATGGACTTTTCGGGGCAAAAATGTTTGCGTTTTCACTCGCAACTTTTTGAAAAGCTGTTTTTTCATTTACTAGGAACTTCGGGATACAGCGAACAGATGCCGCGTCACGCTCAGGTTCGTTATAAACGGGCTCGACTGTATACTCATGTCAAAGGGGTGAAATCACCGATTTCAAATAAAGACCAGCAAGACTTGGCTCATTAGAGCATATATCGTTTCACTCTCAAGAGTTTTATGTGTGTCTTTATATGTACAGACATCACAGCATGTCTAAATTAGTTGAGAAATACCTTTTATTCAGGGAAAGGGAAGGGGCTTAAGAGCTAGATGAGTGGGGTCCTATTTTAAGGTCTCCACTGGCTTGTGCTACCAGGGGGGCGTGGTCGAGAAGCGTTAGTTGCACCACCGGGTCCGTGCTAGCAAAGAGTGCCTCCCATTGCTCAAAAAATGTTTCTATTCTGTACCTATTTTGTAAGTACCTAGTGGAGCTCGTTCGGCCTTTTACTGCAACCACATTGGTGGCGAGTCACGACACCACCGACAATTATGCCTATACAAAGTAGGGAAAATTTCGTACCATTGTAATAAATTTGGATAGACTCGAAGCATGCACAGATGTAGCTTGATCTGGTGTGATGTGTCGGTGTATGACTCATCACGTCCGAAGGGAGTCACCATGGTTGTCCTTGTATTGACAGTGTGATGCGAGCATGAAGCTGTGGCAGGAGCGACCAAGGCATTTTCAGACGGGACGTCACGGCCATCACCACTATCACCACAGAGGCTCCTTGACTGAGGAGGAGGTGCAGCAGCTCACCGCTTTCATTGACGCCGTCTCCAGCCTCGTTCGAACGTGGGTGCCTCTCCTTGCTCATCTTGAGTTGGCGCCATTGCGCACTTCCAGAGTTCTTCAATCATGGCAGTTTCATGTACACGCTCATTAGCAAATTTACAAAGTACATACAGCAAACTGGTGTGCCACCTGGATGGGATGACAAAACACACTACATTGCCACAATTGTTGCAGTCTCCACTGTCATTACGAGAAGCAAGAGGTACTTGAGTACACTTGACAGTGGCGCAAAAGACATTTTTCTGCAAAGAGCCAAGTCCTACTAATGCAAGCACCAACTTGCCAAAAAAGATGTCCTTTTGGAAGTAAGAATTAGCTTAAGTATGTGCTAGAAAGTTCTGTGGCTGCAGTATCATCTGCAAAATGTAACCCACAAATGTAAACACTCTACTCGTTTCATAAATGAGGTGTCTATATGTAGAAGGCCTCTGCTGTTTAGGCATCTTTCATCTCTTTCTTTTAGGATGCTTACCCTAGCATAGGAATTCAAACTTTGAGTTCATCGGCACTTTTTTTTTCTTCCTATTTTCAGAATCAAGACTGCATCAGCTACAAATGCTGTTGTAGAACACGAGCTGTTCTTGGCCGCTTCTCAAACTTCCTCTGCGATCGACCACGTCTTCCCTGGAGGTCACTTGGTAGAAAATGTGAGCAAGCCCGTTTTTATTTGTTAGAAAAGTTCGTACTTTAGTATCACATAAGTTATATAATTGTACATTGTATTGGCAACTCCAGAAAACACTCCGTGTGCTGGCAACACTGGTCGAAAAACACAGATGGCTGCCAACATGGCACTTTCACTTGGCGCTGTGCTGAAGTTTTTTTATTGTGGTGTCGGATTGCGTTGCTTTGTAGAAGGCGAAAGGTAGCTGGCCGCAGATGGCCTTATTCTCATCGGCATAAAGTATTTTACTCGCCAAACAGCGGAAATAGTAGCGCTGTGCACGCAAACATTGAGCCTCTTCGGCGAACCGCATCAGATTGACTTCAAGTTGAAGAACCTGCCCAGCGAGCCCAATGTTGAAGAAGGCAACTGCTCATGTGCGCAGGCCTCTCTGAAAGGTGCTAGCACTTTTGTGCTGTGTTGCTGCACTGCTAGGCTAGGCCTTAACAGTTTTCGAGATAACTATACACTGTGACATGTGCTGCTGATTACATATATCAAATTATAAGTTTCATTGTCCCGTCAAAAGCCCAATATGCATGCTATTCACTTGATTACAGAACAGTGCTATGCCTGGGCCAGTGTATCTTCAGATAAGGCAAATCATAGTTTTGATTGTAATAGGAGTACTCATTTCTTTTCGTTCGCGATTCATGTTATGAAGTTTGTAATGAATAAGGTCATGCACTACCGAACACTCGCTTCTTCTTGTTGGCAGTAATTGATATTCAATGAAGATATATGGATGCACACTACGCATGCTACGAATGCAAAGACAGACACACACACACACACACACACACATAATACAAACAAACATACCTATATATAAGGGAAACAAGTGTATATTTAAGGGCTCGTTTTTTCATGTTCTGGCATAATAATAATGAGATCTAATAGACAATAATGCCAAGGAATGTATAGGGGAAGTTATTAGGCCCAATTGTAGTGTGAATGTGAAGAAAGAAAAGTGGATAAAAGATAACTTGCCGTGTCGGTTTCTGCTCACGGCAAGTTATCTTTTCACCCACCTTTTTTTCTTCACATTAATTACAATTGGGTCTAATAACTTCCCCTATACATTCCTTGGCATTATTGTCGGTTAGATGTCGTTATATATATATATATATATATATCTATATATATATATATATATATATATATATATATATATATATATATATATATATTGTTACGCACAAGGAGGAACAGGACGTATACGGCTGAAGGGGGCCGTTTATTTTGGTCGCGAAGAGAAGCGCCGGAGCCGCCAACAGGTTGATGATCGCAGTGTCGTCGTCTTCTTTCTTCCTCCAGCTTGGGGCAGCCAGCATGTTCACCCATCTTCGTTTTCTTCCAAGGCATGCGTAACATTCCTCCCCTCGCAGACGAAGCCCGCCGGGCGAGGTAACCGATTCACCTTGGTGTGTACAACTTCAGTCGCGCGACATGGACTGCTTGGGTTTTAGCGGCTCTTCTACCACTTCTCGTGAGGCGAGCTATTGTGTATGTGATTTCCATGATTTTGTCGAGAACGACAAACGGTCAGTCGTATGTTGCCAAGAACTTTTGGCATAACCCGCGTCTTCGTACCGGAGTCCACAGCCACACTAAGTCGCCTGGATGGTAAGTTACAGGCCGATAGCGGACGTCATAGCGTACCTTCGATTTTTCCTGTGATGCCAAAGTGCGTAGACGAGCAATACGACGCGCCTCTTCTGCAAGGCAGAGGATTTCGGTGACTGATAGGTTCTCGTGCGCCGAGAATGGCAAAACTGTGTCGAGTGTGTGCCGTGGCGGTCGTGCGTACATCAAGAAAAAGGGGCTATAGCCTGTTGTCTCGTGCTTAGCGGTGTTGAACGCGTACGTTATAAATGGTAGCACGTCATCCCAGTTCTTGTGGTCGGATGCCACATACATAGAGAGCATCTTTACAATTGTTCGGTTGGTGTGCTCCGTGAGCCCATTTGTTTGCGGATGGTATGGCGACGAGTGACGAAGGCGGGACTCACTCAATCGAAGCAGCTCTTCTACTATGTCTGCCGTAAATTGTCGCCCACGATCACTGATGATCACGTGAGGTGGGCCATGTCGGAGGATGACGTGCTGCAGCAGGAACACAGAGACGTCGCTGGCAGTTGCGGTTGGTATGGCCGCCGTCTCGCAGTAGCGCGTGAGGTAATCGACACATACAATTATCCAGCGATTGCCCTTAGCCGACTTTGGAAAAGGGCCCACGAGGTCAATGCCCACCTGTTGGAAAGGTGTGCTTGGAGGTGGCAAGGGCTGTAGAAGACCAGCCGGACCAGTAGATGGGCGTTTGTGGCGTTGACACTGTGTGCAGCTGGCCACATACGCCTCGACTGACTGTCGCATTCCTGGCCAATAAAAGCGTTCCTTAGCACGGTAAAGCGTCCGTGCAGAACCTAAATGTCCGGACGTAGGATCGTCGTGCATAGCACCTAAAATCGCTGTTCGGAGGCTTTCTGGCACTACCAGGAGGAAACGTGCGCCAGTGCTGGAAAAGTTCTTCTTATATAGGAGTCCGTTGCGTACACAGAAATGGCATGCCGTAGGAGCTGTGCAAAGCGATGATAGCCTGGTGTCCTTTCGCTGTTCATCTTTGAAAGTACCGAGGTCGGGAAACTTTGGTGACACAGAAGCTACGAGGTGATCGAGGTCATCGGCGTCACACTCTGTCGTGCTCAGTGGCATGCGCGAAAGGCAATCTGCGTCGGCGTGTCGTCGACCACTTTTGTACGAGACTATGAAGTTATACTCTTGGAGCCGAAGTGCCCAGCGCGCTAGACGGCCGCAAGGATTCCGAAGATTGACGAGCCAACACAATGAGTGGTGGTCGGTGACGACTGTAAAAGGGCATCCATATAGGTAAGACCGAAATCGCTGAATTGCAAATACTACCGCGAGGCATTCTTGTTCTGTGACAGTGTAATTCTGCTCGGGCCTACTCAAGGAGCGACTTGCGTATGCAATCACGTGCTCGCGGTTACCATAGCATTGAACTAGGACGGCACCAATTCCTATGCCACTAGCATCCGTATGAAGCTCTGTCGGAGCAGAAGGACTGAAGTGCTGAAGGACGGGTCGTGACGTCAACAAAAACTTCAATTGACGAAATGAAGAATCGCACTCCGGAGTCCACTCAAAGGAATTGTCCTTTCGTAAGAGGCATGTGAGAGGGTACGCAATGTCGGCAAACTTCGGAATAAAGTGGCGGAAGTATGAACAAAGCCCCAGGAAACTACGAAGCTCCTTGACGGAACGCGGCGCATTGAACGCCTCAACTGCTGCTGTCTTCTGGGGGTCAGGGCGAATGCCATCCTTGTCAACGAGATGCCCGAGCACAAGCGTCTGGCGGTCTCCGAAGCGGCATTTCTTCGAGTTTAAAATTAGGCCAGCGTTTCGGATGCAGCTCAAAACAGTGTCCAGACGAGAGTTGTGTTCACTGAACGTGCGGCCAAAGATGACGACATCGTCGAGGTAGCACATGCAGATGTTCCACTTCAAGCCACGCAGGATGGTGTCCATAAACCTCTCGAACGTGGCCGGTGCATTGCACAGTCCAAATGGCATCACATTGAATTCAAAGAGCCCATCAGGGGTTACAAAGGCAGTCTTTTCCTTGTCCTCTGGGTGCATCTGAATTTGCCAATAACCGGATCGTAAGTCTACGGAGGAAAAATAAGAGGCCGAATGTAAGCAGTCTATTGCGTCCTCTATACGTGGCAGCGGGTATACGTCCTTTTTAGTCACGGCATTCAGTCGGCGATAGTCGACGCAAAGTCTCCAAGATCCATCTTTCTTCTTAACGAGGATTACCGGTGCTGCCCACGGACTGGCTGACTCTTGTACCACTTCCTTTTGCATCATTTCCTGCACTTGGTCGTTGATAATTTGTCTTTCTGATGGGGAAACACGATATGGTTTTTGGCGAATCGGACTTGCCGCGCCAGTGTTGATGGTATGGCGCGTTCGAGACAGGGGGATAGGGACTACTTTGCCCTTCTGCGCAAAGTCAAATACCGAAACGTGCTTCAACAGCACATTCAATAAAGTTCGGCGCTCGCTTGAGCTAAGCGACTTATTTATCGTTGCCATAAGCGCCCCGTCCAAATTGTGACAACCAGTTCCGTCACGTTCTTCCGGCACGTCTGTGAGCCCGACCACTGATAAGGTCACGTGTTCTTTGCTGACCGAAGCTAATTTCAAACCATTGGGTAGTGTCACGGGCTCAGAGGAACAGTTTACAGTCCATAGGCCAGTTCGTCCGCCATCAATCGACACCACACAATGGGGAACCAACACATTCTTCTTCACGCAGTTTATGTACATTGGTTCTACGCTCGCATCGAAGCTGTCAGAATCCGCGCCGCGACAAACAACAGGAACACGTACGGTAGACAACGCAGGTATTAACGTATCGCCACAGACACACAGCGTAGTTTGGTCATTTGCCGGAGTGTCCAGAAGTTCTGAAGGCATCTGGCCACTCACAAAGACTTTCCCCGTGCGACAGTCTACAGTGGCACCACATTCTCGCAAGAAGTCCATGCCGAGAATGACATCATGTGTCGACCGAGGAATAATCGCAAACTTTGTCGTTATCATAAGGCCTCCCAAAAATACCTCAGCACTACACACACCAATAGGGCGCAATGGCTCTCCACTCACTCCACAAAACGTCGAAGTTTCATCCCAGGTAAAAACAACTTTCCGCCCTAACACGTCTTTAAAGGAAGCACTCATCACGGAAATCATTGCACCTGTGTCCACCAAGGCCATCACAGGCACATGATCCACCAAAACACGTACTTTGTTTTTAAACATACACACAGGAGGTATTTCTCTCAGTAGCACGTTTCCAGCGACCTCACCCCCATTGGCCGCGCTGGCTAGTTTTCCGGTGGCGAAGAGGGCGCTTTGCGACGCAGCGGTGAAGGAGAACGATAAGCACGAGGTCGC